GATGTAGCTATGAAGTCCTTAGATTGGATGAGTCACGTACCTCTTTGATGTTTATGGGAAAAGTTAACTTTTGCTGAATTTGTATTTTTAGAGCATGATGCCTGGAAATACAGCAAAGTTTTCATGTACTGTAACCACATAAAACTGTTTCATAATTAAAATATTTAGAGTTGTATGATGGAGACATGGGACCCTTGACTTAGTCTGTGCCTTTGGGATAATTTGCCTAAATAACATACATTTAAATTGTCTGCAATCATTAGGTAAATTATTCAATGTGATCCCAAGAGATGCTTAAGGCAGAGATAGTGAGATTTCTCACCTTCTGTTCCTAAGTTTCACTTAAAGCTAACTAATGAAAGTCATTGTCTGTGAAAAAGACCAGGTTAAAAATACAGCTAGAACATCTGAACCCATGGGGGACATGAATAAAATCTATGGGGCCAGGCATCTCTAGGCTCACTACATTTCTGCTGATCTTCGATTGATATGCCTCCTCTTCTCTCTTGAAGGTTCAAAGCAAGCATTGAAAATCCAGGGCTTTTTAAAAGGGCAAAAATTGTGTTCAGTGCTATCCACAGCTCTTTTTCTCATTTTATGCTGTGAATATTCTGATAGGATGCCTAGATGCTTTTGCATTATACGTTGAGTCATTTTTCCCTTGTGGAATTAGTTTGCCAAATTGCTTTCTGATCCCGACTCTTCAGGAGGGCAGACTCCCTGCCCTGCATGGCTGCACATATTCCTTAACAGCATTTTGCAGCCATCACTGCAAAGACTCATGGAAAGTGAATGAACACACACTTGTGGCTCCCAAATTCAAAGGATCCACGTAGTGATGTAAACTTCAAGGGCCAGGATGTACTGTTGAATTGAGGTCATTCAACAGGTAAAAGAAAAACAGGTGGCAGGTAGAGGAAAGCCCTAGGAACCATGCCTTTGCAAATTTGTGTATGAATGTAGTCTTTAAATTAAACAACAACAAAAAGGCTCTAAATCTGGATAGATCCAATGCAAAGATTTTCAAGACATAAGGTAATTAAATAGGTTATTTTCTTCAGTAAAATAATAATTTTTTCCCTTACCAAAGTAGGGCAATATCAGTAGATTTTTGTGCCTTACCATATTCCACAAAGGAATTTAAGAGGAAAAATCCAAGACACCTGTTTCATGGGTTCTTTGTTCTTAAAAGATTGTTATCATTCCAATATGTCTCATTAGAAATCTAAAATTATTAAGTAAACTTACAAAAGCACACATATGTGAGTGGGTTGCTGTTTTCTTTAGTTAGTACTTATGCCAAATAAGATATAACTTCAAATTAACACTTCTCCAATTTCTCTGTCAAAGTGCAGCAAGATTCAAGAATGAGCAACATTAAATACAGGTGGGAAAGCATTAGTTATGGAAGGTGCTACATTAGTATCAGGTATGGTAGTTTCGTCTAGTGGGAGAACGAATATCTTTGTTTCAAAAATATTTTGTAATTAGTATTTTATGGTAACGAATAAAACAATAGCTAACCTGGAGGCTACCGGCAAACAGAAACACACACCAAAATGTACAGTGAATATTCTTCCTCCATTTGTTTCCTTAGCAAATAGAATTTGATTGCTGAGTTCTTCATGGAACGTTGAGTCTTTTGTATTTTATTTCTATCTATAGCCACTGAGATCTGTCCCTCTGCCATGGAGATGTTGTCTTAGAGGAGAGTCGTATTTCAGCAAACATAATTAAACCATCACAAACAGAGCCTTCCATTAGTCAGAGGAGAGTTATTGCTCATGTGCTGTAGATGCATAGCCAAGTATTTCACATTCTGCTGGGGGAAAATAAAGGCCACTAAATATTTCATGGGTTTTTCTTGATCAGATTGTTTATTTCTCGACATTTTAAAGAGATACTTAATTTTTCTCAGCAGCTACTTTTGTCATCACGTTAGAAAAATAGATATTAAGGGCAGAATTTTCATGGGATGCCAAAAGCTGGTATTTTCCTGGAATGAGGCTTACTGTGCACATAAAAATAAATCTTATACTGTTCTCCAGAAAATGTCCTTGGCATTTGATGTGTTTTCTAAAGCTATATTCTGGTAATGTTCTGCATCTAAGGTTGGTGGGGCGGCGACGGGCGGGGGGTGGGAATCATAATTTGATTGGTGTGGTTGATATACATTTGGGTTTCATGAAAAAATAAAAAGTGGGCACTAGAGGGTGCTATTTGATTTTCTTTTTCTCTGAGCTGCGCTGCAGACGTCAGTGCACTTGGGGCACTGAAAAATGCCATCGTGTTCTTTTAAACAGGACAAAATTGCAATGAGATACAAGGTGCAGGGGGAGAGCAGGTGAAAATACCCTGAATTTTGGGAAAAAGATGGAAGGTTCAGAATGAGGTAGAGGCTTAATTAATTCAGAATTAGTAAAGAAATAATTCTTTATTACCCTCGTCCTGCATGATTGTCATCTTTTGATAATTACTTAATTCTTTTGGTTGAAAGAAATTTTATTAAATTTCAAGCTCTTGCTAAATGTCAAATGGTTCTAAAAATAGTTATAATATTAGACTATGTTAAACAATTAGTGCTCTCAAATTTTGCCATTAGAATTTTCAGGAGAGCACACATCTACTAGTAGTTAAGAAACTAATTACAGAATTCCCAACTGTCACAAATGCCAGACCCCAAGATGCGGTTTCTTTTGATATCAAATACCAAGTCAATAAGATTCCCAATTAGCTTCTTTTTAAACCTTTGCTAAGCATGTGCTTTTGCCTCACCCCCACCCCCCCAGGCAAACTTTTACAAGGAAAAGGTAATGTTCCAGAATTATCTTAATGTATACTATCATATGGTTTATGTTTGTGGTGCCATTTTCTAACATAAGAATATTTGAAAAGAAACTTAATGTTCTCATTTTACAGGGAGGAAAATTAGGGTATTGAGGCACTGAATAATTTGTTTGGAGCATAGAATGTATAGAAGGGTCAAGGTCACCTCCAGTTCTTCTGCCTTCCAGGGAGTTAACTAAAGGGCTTTGTGTTTTCGTTGTGTGCAAGTATTTCTCAGTCCAGAAAGAAATGATTGACCTGGAGACAAGAGTCATCACTGCCGATTTCCAGTTCTTCCTTTCAAGCACAGGGGACGCTCCCACTTCCACCTCTCTGAAAGCAAGTGACAGCCATGTGGCTTGCATTGACTGATGGGATGGGAACAGTGGCAATAGGTGCCCTTTCAGGCAAAGGCATGACAGGGGGTGGGGTGTGATGCTCTGTGCCCTCTTCCTTTGCCAAGGTAACTCTTGAAGCCACATGTTGAGCCTCAAAAGATAATGACACCTTTGTCAACTTCCATTCCAGGATGCCAGTGGGGAGCAGACCCTCCTTGTATCTGCAAGAAACAAACCTTTATTGTCGAAGGAAACTGAGACACTGGCTCCATAACCTGGCTTATCCCAATGACAGACAAGTGAAGGCTGTCAGTCAAGTGAGAAAGCCAGACACCAAGAACAAAAGTGTCACAAGAAAGGATCTAATAAAAAAAAAAGTTACCATTTTTAATTTAGTAATTTCTAACTTAGATATGAGAATCAATGGAGAAGTTATCAAGGAATTTATATATCATTTTTCTTTCTTGTATGTTTTTGTTCACAATTCATCCAAGAAACTTGAGTAAAGCAATAAGAAGACACTTTTGTGTTTATCCCATAATCCATCTGATTAGCCTTCTGTTACGGTTTCAATATGAAGTGTCCCCCCAATGCAAAAAGGTTTAGAGGACAAATGATTGGGTTACGAGATCATTAACCCAATCAGTGAATTAATCCCCTAATAAGATTAACTGGGGGTGTGGCTGGAGGAGGTAGGTCATTGGGGGCTTGCCTTTGGGGTATATATTTTGTATCTGGCTAGCAGAGTCCCTTTCTGCGTTCTGATCATCAGGTGAGCTTCTTCCCTCTGCTACACTCTTCCACCATGATCTCCTTCCTCATCTTGAGCCCCAAGGAATGGAGCCTGCTGTTTATGGACTGAGACATCTGAAACCGTGAGCCCCCAAATAAACTCTTCCTCCTCCACATTTATGCTGGTTGGGTCTTTTAGTCACAGTGGTGCAAAAGCTGACTAAGACACCTTCTATGGTCTTAGTGGAAATGATCAGTAGCTGGTGTGTCTTCTGATCTTGAAGTCTGGGACCATCAGGAGCTGTGGTTTCAGGTAACCACAAACATGCACCCAACATGAGTTTCTATCACCAGGAAGATGAAATATTGAGACTCAGCTTGAATAGATATATTTGACTCCTTCATCCATCTCAATGTTCAGCATTTTCTTAAAAAGATCTTATAATGTCCAAGCATAAGCAGATATCAATTTTTCTCTATCAATACCATTGTTCTCTGAGCCTCACAGCACGAGTGACAGCCCAGACCAGCCAGAATTTGTAGGCCCTCCAGGCCAGAGCCGGGAGAACACAGCAGCTCGGGGCAGACTGTCTACACCCCACTTCATCAACCCAGTGACAGTATGATGCTGCTGCCTTTGACCTGTGAGACAGCAGCTACCACGCCACGATCAAGGATGCTCAGCATTTCTGCTCAGCTTTTCAGTGTTCCCAGAAAAAATGCAAAAATGCTATCAACTTGAATCCAAGACAATTTTAAAATAAACTTGAAGTGGGTTTTGTTTTGTTTTTAACCTTAAAAGGGGAGGCACTCCAGGGATATATTTTGCAGGCCCTCCATTTTGCAGTTAATTATAGTAAATGTGTGTTTATATACCACTTACAATGGAGGACACTGCCTGCTTTTCTTCTGCAAAGCACCTTAATGCTCCGCTAATGCTCTGTAAGTGCACCCGAGTAGTAATAACACAACACATTACAGCTGTGGCCAGCAGTGCCTACCTGGTCCAGTGGCTGCTGCTTGCTCTTTTCTGTTTTTAATCATAGCGAGCTATTTAGCGTGCAAAGCTTCACATCGATAAGAATGATTCCGGCCACCAAATAATGAGAATACTTGAACACAAAGTTTATTTAAGGATAAAACACATTAAAATTATTTGGTTGATCTGTGAAAAGAGAAGGGACTGGGTTTGAGGGGTGGGATCGGGGTGAGGTTCCCCAGGTCTGCAATTAATATATCCAGTGGCCAAAGCTGCCATGGCAAGGTGGAGAGCTGCGGTGGGCGGGCAAAGGGACTCGTCCTCAACAGAACAGAGCCATGGTGCAGGTTGTAGATCAGACACTTCCACACGCCAGCGAGATTCCTTAGAGGGAGCCAAACCTTTCAGTCATCACTCCCAGATTGTTCCAACTAGCCCTAACTCTGTAACAAGTAGGATCCAGAACTAGCAGTGGCTGGACAGATTTCTCTGGTCAGATTTCAGGTCAGATTTCTATAACTAGAGTTCATTTCCTTTACTGGATTTTCACATGAGCCAAGGTTTCTAGTGACAACTGTTTGGGAATTTTAGTTAAATACATCCTTCCCATGACTGGCTTTTAGAAGCCCTGGTGCATATTTTGAAAGAGGGACCTGGAATCTCTGACCACTGGAGACAAGTGGCATGATTGTGAGAAGGTGGACACTTTCAAATAGATTTTGACTTAGGGACACACACTTTTTATCCTACAGGGAGTTGAAGTAAGTAAATTACAGTACTTTATATAGCAACCTTGAGTGCATTATGAGGTTGTGTCTGATTGATATACAAAATGCCATAGTGAAATTTGGGTCACGATGAGAAGAAGTGTCCAAACTTGAAGATCAACTGAAGAATTAGAGGCTGTGGACAGAGAGGAACATAATAAGTCCTATGGGGTGGTGGTGGGGAGAATGCCAGTTAGACAGGCATCACTTCTCTGCAACACTCAACTAAATAAAGGAAATTTCATGGCCAAGAACTCACTTTACCCAAATGGCCCTGGCTCAGGCAGCAAAAAATCAAAATTAATCCAACCTTGAAGAGGATCCTGCTAAGCTCAGAGGGAGGAAACCATGTCAAGACTGCTCTCTCATTTGTTAAGGCAAACGTCTAATCCCAGCCTCAGCCCAGGTAGACCTGGCATTCAGATCTATAGCCAATATATAATCCTGAAGTGGTAGTGTAAATTTTCTTCTATCATTATCTTTAGATGAAAAATCAGGGATGCAAAGGTTTTTCTTTTTTCTTTTTTTTTTTTTTAATGGTGCTAGAATTCTTTGGGTGTTTTCCCATCTTTCCTCTTTTTGGGGGGGGGATGGGTACCAGGGATTGAACTCAGGGGCATTCAATCACTGCATCACATCCCCAGCCCACTATACAATAAAATAAAAATTGTATTTTATTTAGAGACAGGGTCTCACTGAGTCGCTCAGCGTCTCGCTGTTGCTGAGGCTGCCTCTGAACTCGTGATCCTCCCGCCTCAGCCTCCGGACCCCTGGGATTACAGGCATGTGTCAGCCCGCCCAGCCATCTTCCCTTCTCAATTTCTGAAACTTTCCTAGGTAAGTTGCTGACTGGGTGGGCTTCAGATCTGAGTTTCTCCTTCTGGGGTTGGGGACTTTCTAGGACCCTCATTGCCTGCCCTGACTCAGAAGAGCCTCTACCTCGGCAGCTCCTGCCGTCCTCTTGCAGGGTTCCTGTCACGCAGCTGCACAGAGGCCCGTCCACCCGGCTGGTGCAGATCTGCTCACATCCTCCGTTGTCTTCACACCAGTCCAGCCCTGAAAACAAGCAGTCGGGCAAATTAATTGTAGACCATTGCACCCTCCAATTCATATAGAAGGGAAGGTTTTAATGAAAGGAGAGGATGAAGAAAAGCCCCATGCTGCCGAGTTCTTAAAAGCCAATGAAAATATTTCTTCAAGGGAGCAGGCGGGCAGTCTTCTCACACTGGTGTCCCCAACACCATCACCTCATGCACTACACCCACATCACAGGTGAAGCACGTCTGAGCCTTCAAGTCCCACTGTTTCAATAATTTATAGTGTGTTTTAGGAAACATACATACTTTTTCTCCTAATAGGTCCCACTGAAATGATCTGTTCTTTAGGTTCTTTTGTATAATCTGTGGCAATCCTGGAATTTTGTGGGCAAGTCTGAAAGACAGAACACCAGAGGGAAAATTTCACACAATTAAGCTGATAACTTATTCCTCACCATGTTTCCACCTGCAAAAGAGGCAGAGGCTCCGGCCTCCAACACTATTGCTGCTCAGATTAATTAGAACCAATGCATTCTTGATCATTGAATCCACTGGGACGCCAGGCTTTAGGTTGAGCAGAATTAAATATACTCTTCACAGTAGAATTATATTCAAAGAGGCCCTTTGCTCGGGAATGAGGATTGTTGTATCTCATGGACACTAATGTATGCGGCACCATCTGCAAGGAGCCCTGGCCATAATTCATATCTTGATTCTGCAAACAAGGGGGTAAGCAAAAAGCTGCAATATTAAAGGTTAGGAGCCAGGTACCAATGCAATCACATCTTAAGGACATAGCAATATGTAGTGGGGTGTAAGCCTGGCATGGAAGAGATGCTTAATTTGCACTTCAGCCTCATCCCACAGCCCCCCTAGAGCCTCAGGCCCTGTGGATCAGATGAGCTGTTGGATACTTTGATAAATTGCCTCCTGAGGTCAGCAGTTTGCTATGGTGGAGTGATACTCTGCTCAGTGGTCATCAGATTCAGGTGGCCTGAGACTCCTTGAGACTTCAGTACAGTGGTCCTCAGCCAGACCAATGCCCCCACCCCTACCCTCCAGTGGACTTTTTGGCAATGTCTGGACACATTTTTTGGATGTTACAACTGGGGAGTAGATAGCATTGGCATCTGTTGGGCAGAGATCAGGGACACTGCACAGGGCAATCCCCCACAACAAAGGATGTCATTGGTGCTAGCTTGAGGAGCCCTGGTCTGATGTTAAGTCAATGACCAGTTGACATTTCGGAGACAGGAGTAAATGCACATCATTCCACTGTGCTCTCCCCCACCAAAGATGACTACCCTCCAAAGACTCCTGTGCATCTGAGGATTACTCCAGTTCAGCCACCTGGTACTCAGTCTTCATACTGGAAATGCTGGAGCAGGGAGAGTAAGTCTAAGCATTTGATTTTTACACTGTCACTTACGATTTTACAGGAGTACTTTTCTGAGTCACAGAGCGACACTGCACAGTGAAGATGAACTTCATCATAATCCCCAATGAATTTAAAGACGGTGACGTGAAAACGGCAGGTTAGGGAGACTCCATTCTCCTCGATGCCGATGGTGTTATCTTTAATGTTCTGACACCTATTCAGAAAAAATAATGGCATCTTGGCTTCCCATTTTTTCCTCTTACACGTTAATCCTCATCTTCATTTCAGAATTTCAAATGAATGTGGCCTCTGGACTTGTCATCTATTATCACTCCCTCCTACTCTCATTGTTTGTTCTGAAACTTTAAATACCACCTCAGTTAGTATCCTAACTGCAACTAAAAATTAAATGACCGTAGGGACTGCACTCAATTTCCCTGTGCTTCAAGACCTCAGTCCGCCCCCTCATGATGCTGTGTTTTACTGATAACAATTTAGCAAACACAAGATTAGTTCTGACTTCCTCTGTACTTTCTTCAGTTAATTATCAACGTTGGCAGGGGCCCCTGATTCAAAGCCTCTTGGGAACTCTTCCCACACATTAAAATAGGTAGGAGCTGGGGCTGGGGGAGAGGCACAGCCCGGGAGGAGCTGGAGCAGGGTCCTGGCGCAGGTGAGCGCCCCTCCTCAACTGCTTCCTCCTTGTGGTACCGAGCCAATACCCAGTCCCAGGCAAGACCTTCCTCAAGCACAGATATTTTGCTTTAACGACTTAAAAGTTCCCCAAATGTATCACAGTGGCATATATTCCAGTGTCCTCATGGAATGTTTTCCCCACTGGAAGGTCTTTCTGCTCCTGTCCCCTTGCATGACACCTACTCTTTCACAGCACAGTCTACAGCACCCCTTCTCTACACGGAGCCTCTAGGCATGCTCTAAGCAGGCAGGAATAGGAGGTCTTTTCCAGATTTGCCAACAGCACCCTGTTGAGCTCCTCCAGAGCAAGAATCAAACTGCAAGAATCAAGGTTCCAATCATCGCAGGGCACATGGTAAGTATTTGAAAATCTTTGTTGAATGAATGAATAAGCGAATGAATGAATGAGTTGTGCTGCCATGGCCCAAGGTGGGCTCCTAGGTGCCAAGAGGCTCTTTAAAATGATCAAGATAAAAGGGGTGACTCTTTCTCTTTCTTATGTTTCTTTTCCCCAAACCCACAGGATTAAATAGCTTAGTAATAAGGAAAATTAAAAATCGAAGTTATCCTTCAGCATTCCCACACCTATTAAGTTTCATAATTAGTCTTCTAGGCAAAATGCAAGTTGCTTTTCAAGGCAGTTGTCTCTGAAATGCTTTGAAAGCAAAACTTTATATGCCATCCTTTTTTTTTTTCTTGTCCTTATTATGATTGTGGATAATCTAAATTGGCTCAAGGATTCTAAAATGGTAGCGTCTCTCCAGTCTTCACACAGACTTCCCCTCTTAGCCAGATCACCAGCTCTCTCCCAGGGAGATGAAGTTTAGGTATCAGAAAAAACATGAAGCAAAGCATCCTTGGCTATTTGGGGGCCTCCTTTAAAGCAAGCAAACAAGCCAGGCATGAATCTTCTGAACACCAATGAAGAATAGCTGTCCCTCCCACTTTTTCAGAGAAAAGAGAAGTGGGCATTGTGCCCCAACCCCCACCAGTTTCTGAGCTACTGATAAGTTGGTGCTGTCTCTGTGCTCCACACAGCTAGGGAGGATCAACTGACCCCAAAACATTTAAGTGGACCTGTTTCGCTGCTCATTAATTAAGCACCGAGCATCAGTTTTCCCCTAAGTTCAGTGGAAGAAAACAAAACAAAACAATAATCGCATCCCTCCAAGAAAGGTTAGAAGGATTGATGGATTCAAATTCTCCCAGGTGACCAAATCATTTCCCACCTAACCACAGTTTAATTTGAAGGCCTTTATTCACACAGACCCTGGGGTAAGCTGAGATTTATGAACATGCCTGCTGGCTCGCACTTCCTCTCTGGGTCAAGTCCATTAAATGCTGTTTTTAAAATGCTAAATGCCACCTCATCCTTCAAAGGAGACACAAGTTCTATAATCTGAGTTTCCATTTGCAGAGTAGCTCAGGTTATAGCTCTTTTACACTGGGAAAGAAGTACAATAAGGACAGGGAGGAGACATGGAGAAAAGGAAAACTGTCCCATTAACCCAAGCGCCAAGGACTCAAAGACACCAAGGACTCAAAGCCCCTCCCTTTGCCTCTGAGAAGGCCAATACCAACTCAGAGAGACGCATGCCTTAGCGAGGCCTTTGTTGAAAATTCCACGACATGCCTGCACAACCCGTGCCACGTGCCACCCAGCTCTAGCAATGAGCCGTGTTTTCTGACACCTAAAAAAATTCCTTCCCTCCCCTTGCTGGTCATGTTACCATGGTGAATTCTGAGCCTGCCTTCTCCAAGCCTGCCTCGTCTACAAAATGGTGGATGTCAATTATTTGCCCAGAGTCACACCCCTCTTCTCTTGGGGCACCATTCCTCTTTCCCACAACCACAAAGCTATTAAACAGTGTCCACAGCACCCTCTGCCCATCATAGGAGTAGGTGCTGATCCAGCCCAGACAACTGCTATGGTGCATTCCCCCTACAAAGGACAGGCAAGTGATCCAAGACAGAGTTGTCTTCCTTCCCTAGGAGTCCCTGAGTTGGAATTAGAAGAGTTCTCTCCTCTGTGGTGACAGTGGTGCATGAATGTGAGGCCAGGATTGTCAGTGACTGACAAGGTCAATGAGAGAGCAGAGAGAGGTAGAGACAAGAGATGAGCAAGAAGAGAGGCTTGACAGCTCCCTGGATTCGATCATCCTCAGGCTACATCTACTCCTGTGATTTGATTACCCCTTAAACACCTTGGTTTTATTTGGTTCTGGTTGTGGGGGGTTTTTTGGCATAGGCTAATTTAAATTGGCCTTTACCAGTTATAACAAAAGAACTTTGATAATAAAGTCCCTATTTAAAGAATTATTTTATTGGGGTTATGTAACTGTTCTAAAATTAGACTATGGTGATGTTTGTGCTCCTTTGAAGACTTACTGAACATCATGGAATTTTATACTTAAAGCAAGTAAATTTAATTGCATATAAATTATGTGTTAAATCAAGCTGTTAAAAATGAATTTTTGCAAAAGATCTGTTATGTGTATAAACTGCCTGACATAGCTGGTGTTTTTTTTTTAATAAAGATAATTATTTTTACTGTTGTTTGGTTCTTTAGTCTTCTCTTGTCATCCATCCATTAATTCATTAAATAAATTTTATTGTGTAACCACTATGTTTCAGGAAATATATGAGATGGTGGGCATACAGTGATAAGAAAAAAGAAACTTGTAGAGCTTACAAACTATTGCTGTAATTCCCTTTTACCCAAAGTTTCACTTTCTACAATTTCAGTTACCTGCATTCAACAGCCATACAAAAATATTAAATGAAAAATTCCAGAAATAGCACATACATTTGAAATTGCATGCCGTTCTGAGTAGCACAATGAGATATTGTACTGTCCTACTCCATCTATCCAGGACATGAATCATCCCATTGTCCACTGTATCTATGCTGTATATGCTACCTGCCTGATAGTTATCTAGTAACCACCTTAGTTATAGATCAGTGTTGTGTTATCTCAGTGCTTGTGTGCAACCCTTATGTGGTAGCCTGATGCTGTATCCCAATGCCCACCTACATCATTCACCTCACTCGTCTCTCATCATGTGAGCACTGAATCACCTCACAATATCACAAGAAGATGAAGGATAAGTACAGTATAGTAAGATATTTTGAGAGAGATACCATGTTTGCATACATTTTATCATAGTATACTATTATAATAGTTTTGTTTTATTAGTTATTGTTTTTAATCCCTTCCTTTGCCTAAATTATAAACTGAATTTTTCCATGGCATGTGTGTATGGGACAAGGCACAACACATGGAGGGTTCAGTAATCTCCACGGTTTCATTTCAGGCATCTACTGGGAGTCTTGGAATGTCACCCTCAGATAAGGGTGCACTACTCTTGTAATTTCTTTGTTATTTTGATAGGTGTCCTACTCATCCTATTCTTTCATTTGCATAATTCTCATTCCTCTCAAATTGAAGTTCAAAGTAGACAGGACCAAATCCCTTTTTGATCACAACGATGATAAAGCATCTTGTAGTTAATACTGCATGACTTGAAGGACCTGCCACTAACTGCTGTGTGACTTTAAGCAAGTTACTTGACCTCATCTATAAAATGAGGCTTAGAAAGTCTACATCATAGGTTATTATGAGAATTAAATGAATTCGCTGATACAAAATGCTGGTTCTGAGGGTGTCAACAAATGTTAGTTTCTATTCCTTTCCCTAAAACATAATTAGACAATATTATGGCTCTGAGACTGCCATCTATTAAAAGGCCACTCACCCTCCTTCAATGATGAAGTATCGGAGCTTATCATTGCTGTCACGGGAAGGGGTGGCATAGCACTTGTTGAGCGTGAGGATCAAATGTGTAGAGTCAGCTCCAACCACAAAGACCCCTACGTACAGCACATCTCGTGTGGTCAAGACTACTTCACCCTGGCGGTAAGGATGTTTGTAGGAGGCATTTTTGTAGAGCGCCATCTTGGTGGTAAAGCTGCCTTCTTGGGTTGGAACCGTCAGGTTAATGACACTAAAATAGAAATAGTCATAAGGCAGGCAATACAAAACAATTTCATTAATTCAACTGCCTTCCATTTTTTCAAGCTGGAAAAGCAGAGGGAAGGCAAAGTATGTAGTTATAAAGTCTAAGGCTGCACAGTCCAAACTGGTTCCTACCAGGTACATGGAGCAATTTAAATCCAAATGAAACACAATTAATTCAAAAATTAAAAATTCAATTCCTCTGTCCCCTGAGCCACATTCCAAGTGCTCAATGGCCACATGTAGCTACCATATTGTATAGTTGAGATATGGAACATTTCCATCACTGTAGAAAGTTCTATTGAACAGTGCTGGTCTAAAGTACCTAGGTTCAGGAAATAAGAATTTTATTTTCCCTAGGGCTTCAGAGATAAATGCTAACAATTTTGATTATGCTAACCTTAACTGTCAAGGAAAGACAAAGTTATGAACACAGCCCATGAAATCCTTTACCTTAGCATAGGCTTTACTACAGAATCCAAGGAGATCTTGATATCCAGCTCATAAGCACATGAAAATTCCACATTGATTGTGCGGTCCCTGGTGATGATGTTGCCAGTGTTGTTGGCACTTTCGATCCAGATTGTGTTTTTATACATGATATGAGTGCTGTTGGACTGCAGAGCAAAGGGAGGTCAGAAATCATTAAATCTGGGAACGAGTATGTGGCTTGCATTTTAAATCCATATCCCTGAAAGTGGAGAAATGGCTTCATTCCATACATAACCCAGAGGCCATTATAAATCAGTATGGCACTGGCCTCAGCATTTACTCAGGGAGAAAGTATTACAATAGATGTCAACAGCACCCTTCAGTCTGATAACCTTGAAATGCCCATGGAAGGTAGATTTCATGTACCAGGTACTGAATTCTAACAATACCCAGTCCCCAGTCATCCATGGAAATGCAAGCTAGGGAGAACATGGAGTATTGCTGGTTTGAGGTAATATAAACTGATTGAAAATTATTTTTAAACCCTTAATTCAAACCTCTCTTCCACCAAACATTTTGCCGTACATGAAGGTACTTACTCCTTTCTCGCCTTCTGATAAATGTTAATGAGCAGAGCCATGAATGGAAGACACACCCCCAGAAGGAACAAGAAAAGAAGTGAGAAGCTTTGTTAACCTACACATCGCTCTTTCAATTCAACCACTTAGTGATGACTGCCTTGTGCATATGCCTTTCACTGTTCTCCAAAGAGAATATTTTTAAGAGGACCACCTTGACCTTGGCTTTAAGGACGATCAATAGGCAAATACCAGGAGCTGTCTCTACCTCCGCCAGGTGCTCCTTCCTATGCCCATTTTCTCACCTGCACGATGTTGCCACAATTCCCTTTGGTGTTGTTGATCTGAAAGGAGATAAAGTCTTCCCCCTCGATGCCAGTGCACTGCCTGTCATTGATTCTCACACCCTCCCTCTCAAAGCCAAGCTGGAAGAGTTTGCACTTAGAGATGGACACTTCCATCTGGGCCGCCTTGCAGGTCACCTCTGCATCAATGATGTCATGTGAGTCTGTGGGAACAGTTGTTAAGGAAAGCAAATCAGTGGGAGCCGGTCTTGCTGCAGGGGTGGGACTGAGGCATCACCCTGCCATGCTCCTATAGAAAAGGCAGATGAGCTCCACTCAGGCTGCAAGCATTTCTAATTAAGCTTTGATCAGACCAAATGAGCATATGAATTCATTCAAAGCAATAACTTGGGCATTGGTAGAGCCTTATTAAAAAGATAAAAATGCTAATAAAGAGCCCTTTGTCTTTCTTTATAAACCCAGGCCTTCCTCCCACACATACTGGTGGCAGCTACTTTTCAGTGACATACAGAATCTGGCACTTTGTGGCCTGGCTAAGGAGCATGCTCCCCAGGAAGAACAGCACTGGCCTGGCCACACCCAAAGCCCTGGTTGAATCCAGCTCAGCACAACCTCTTAGCAAGTCCCAGGTGAGCATCAGGAATTGCCTTTTGACAGGATATTGCACCAATTGACATTTTCTCTGAGTGTATAAATAGCTGGTAATAAGAAACAGAAATATTTATATCTGCCTAGGTGAACCATGTTGTCCCCTCCTATGGAGCCTTTTAGTCAATTAGGTTTTCATTCTTGAAGGATGTTAAATTTAGCACATGCCTCTGAATTACTTGGTTCAACAAAGGGCGTGGGGATGGAAAGCGAAGCAGCTCTGCAAGCTGGCACCGAGATGATGTGCTCTGCCAAGATCAGGGCCATTTCTACCTTAAGGCAAACACAGTTAGCGACAAGGCCAGGAGTCCCAGGTATTTGCTGCTTGCTTCAAACATTCCTGTTGTATCTTCAAGACCAAAAAGGTTTGGGCCAGATAAAACTGGCTGCAGGTCAGTCTAAGGCACCTGGCTCTCTTCCTTCCTTCATGCTGGTGTCAAACCACCTTACTTCTTCCTCACATAAAAGATCCACTTGGATCTCTATGTTGTATGTGGACTTGATGGAACTGGCCCATCCCGTTCATATACAAATGTGCACATTATCATTTGTTGAAGAAAGGATGAAGCTGTGAGAAAATGAACATTAGCCCATTTTGGTCAGATTGCTTCTTCGTTCTGCTTAAACACTCCCAAAAGTTTTGCTCCTGGAATTTTTCTAACCCGTGAGGTAGGACACATCAAGGTCCTTCCTTGGAGCTTTCCTATGCCACTGCCAGCCCTCCTCCATTGGGCCTTTCTGGGTGGAGAGGTGGCACTTGTTACTCACTGTTTCCGTAGGGGGGTGGCTCAATGCAACCACACAGCTCTCCTCCATTTTCCAGCTCACAGGTTCGGTTGGGACAGTCCGCCCCGACACAGGGATCTTCAACCACTCCTGCTAAAAAGGAAAACACATAGAAACACACACAACTTGATTTTCACACTACACGTGGTAGCATTTGGTCATACTCCGGATTTACCACTTCAGTTCAGTCAGAAATGGTCAGAGATTAGCTGTAAGTTAACAGAGAGGGCAACCTTCCAGAAAAAATGAATGGCAATAGCTAGTGATTGGATGTTTGCTATGGACCTGGCACTGTGCCTCAGGCTTTAGCTGAATTCGCATGTTAGATCCTCACAAACATTCCTTAAGCTATTATAACCCAAATTTACCCAAGGCCACCAAGGAAGGTAAAAGGAAAAGACAGAATGCACAACACTGTTACCTGCCAAGGTACACCACGGTGACGGTACCTACTATACTATGTTATATTATGATTACTTGCATTTATATCTTCATATTTATGTAAAGAGTAGATGCCAAATATTTCTCTTTATGTTCCTAGCATACAGCCACCTCACAGTGTTCAATATATATTTGCCAATAATGAAAATTTGAGGGCCAGTAAGATCCCAGAGGAGTTCCCCGGGGATATCAGGACTTCTTGGATTCATGGTAAACCTTAATAACAACTGACTTGATTATATAAAAGTAGACAAATCAAAACTACACATAATTCACCATCATTGACTAAGATTAATGGCACCATGTTATGATGAATAGCATCTCTGTGACAGATGAGACTACCTGCAAGATATTCAACATCTCCATTTGAGATCCATTAATTGAGAGCATTTTTGTTTCGAGACTCATTTTTTTTTTTATTTGAAGAATCTCCTTCCTATCAAGATAGAAGAATTCTTGTTCATCACCATGGTTGGTGCTAAAGAAGTAACTGTGTGGCATGAGCTAAGTTCACTTCAAGAATTTTTAAAAAGAAAGTTGAAAAAAGATACATTTCAGTTGGAGGAACAAGCTCAAGAGATCTACAATAGTTAATAACAAGATATTATATACTTGAAAATGACTAAATGAGTACATTTTGAGTGCTCTCACCACATATACAGACATTTACAGGGGAAAAAAAGAGGTTAGAAGCACTGATTTTAAATAAAAACTATAAATAAATAGAAGGAAGACCAATAGCAGAAGGGGAACAGGGGGAGGGAGGAGGAGACGCTCTGGGAACTGAAAGGAAGCAATTATATTCTATGCATGTAGGACTATGTCAAAAAGAACCCCAATATTATGTATAACTAGAGTGCACTAGTAAAAACTTTTAAAAAGAAAAATCCCACAGCTTCACCTGCCTCATGTGACCTGGCTGCCACGCTCCTCCACTAAGCAAGTAATGGCACAAGGTGGGAACACATGGATTGCATCGTGTCAGCCAGTTTCCATTTCTGGAAAGATGACTGAAGGAAAAGCATCTATATCATTTAAATATATTTGTTTTAAAAGGATTTCTTCCAAGAGTATTCATGTATAATGTATTTCCAGGCACACAGTAGCCAGGCAGAAAATGGGGTGGCTGATTAACCTAGTCTGAAAACGACCAAAGAAAACAACAGAAAGAATGGGCTGAGTTTAGAGCCACAGGAAAAAAGATCTCACTTAAAAATGTGGTGGTCTGTCCGCCAGCTGGCAAGCACAGCAGGCCCTTAGACAATGGGAAACTTGAGGCTCACACGTACACAAATAAACATATATAATCACATTTACATTTTCAGAGTTCAAAACAGTTAATTTTAAAGCATTTCTTATGAACACAGCAGAATAAAATATTAAAGTTACCAAACAAAACATTTCTGTTAATTTCCAGCAGAGACTAGTAATTTGCTTAACATTTCTGAAATCATTTAATACATGTTTTAATTAGCTTTATTGTTCTTAAGTTTTGAATTATGTGTATTCCCACACTTGATGAAGATTAGTCTCTAAATTTACCAACGTGTATGCATAGCCTTGGAATGGGCCTGGAATCACACACAGGATTGGTGGTGTGTGTCAGGGTACAAAAACACAATCTGTTGGTCCCAGTATCACCTTGCGTTAATGGGAGTAGCTTTTTATGCATGTTGACACATATATGCATACTACAAACTTGCAGATCCAAGAGTGAAAATGGAGAGGATCAGTCATCCCTAGACAAAGCAAGGCTACCAGAAAATAATGCAAAGAAATAAAATAATTCTCTTACAGCAATTCTCCTTCTCAATCCACTCTGTGCTCAGGATCCCAAAGGAGCGGCAGGCTTCCCCATAGGCAGCCAGGGAGCCACACAACTGGAATTTGTTGTGGTTGTAGCAGCCATCCAGGTAGCAGGACTCATAGAAGGGGAGGGGGTCGAGGAGTCCGTAGCAGGGCTGGAAGAAGCCTTTCATATCGGTGAGCTTCAGGCAGTAGCCATCCCCCTGCATCTTCTGAATGTGCACATTGTCACATGTGGCTGCGTACTGTGAGAACTGCAGTTCGTTGCAGCTGGGGGCAAGAGGTTTGGTCAGAGTAAGTGAAGCAAAACCAGCCACCTGAGTCTTCCAGGCAAAGTAAGACCTCATCTGTTGCATCTGCTGTGCTAGCTCTGAACAAGGCAGTATGGGATGCCAGTGCTACCTTCACCTTAGAAAAGTCAGGTGCTAATGGCCTTGAGCTACCCAGCCAAGAAAGTGAAAAAGGAATTCCCATTGCTTATAGCATTATGACACAGCAAAGATGGGCTGGTAGCCACTGTGACACAAGAAAGGTAGATATAATAACCATTAATACTTTCCTATAATTGATTGATACCATTGATATAATAACCACTAACTGTGTTCGTTGCAGCTGTGGGTAAGAGTTTCATCAGAGTAAGTAAAGCAAAAACAGCCACCTGAGTCTTCAGGTATTGACAGAATGGTAATAGCAATAATAATGTCTGATAGATGGCAGAAATAAAGGTTTGCAAAGAAATCCAAGAGTCTTCCACACCAGCTTCAGTTTAGCTGTCAGAGACCAAATTTAAAACCTTCATAAGAAAACTGGTGTCCAGCTGATGATAGTTTATAAAGGAAAAGAAAGGAAGAGAAAGAAAAGAAAGGAGGGAGGGAGGCAGGGGGAAAGTTCAAGCAGAATCACAACTCCATGGGAGGAACCGAACCTTGCTTGTCAGGAAAAACCAAGCGGGCTTAAATGTCCAAAGTCGTCTTCTTTCTATCTGTGGGTCACTGAGTGGCATTTCAGAGAAACCATGAAATGAAGAATCCTGGAGTCTAGTCCTGGCTTGCACTAATGGGTCCTCTCATTTAAATAAGCCATTTTTTTAGCCTCTGTTTCATCAAGAAAAGGAAGAGTCTGGACTAAGTATTGCTCAAGATTCTTCCCAACTCGGGGTCCCATAATTCACAGGATAATCTAATACATTCATTACATCATTCAGCTTACACTTGGGGCAAGTGTTACCAAAGGGGGTTTGGAGCATAGTTTCTAATGTATTAGCTATGTTTCTGTGTATTAGCTGATATCTAGCATGTAAAGCATGAAGACATCCAGCACATAAGCAAAGAGACACGAAGAAAAAGAAGCAGATCCAGAAAGCTATCATCATAAATCAGCAACCCAGAGAGACCCTCAATTAAAAACCTTTGGTATAACTTGTTTAGATCAGTATATCTCGGGTGATTAGAGGTGAGTCTAACTTCCATGACTTATGTTCTAAAAAAGGATTTCCTGATTCCCACCAATTGCCTACACAACCACAATCAAGTCAAACACATTCAATTAGGTCCAGCACCAGGAATCAAAGGGCTGCCTTTCTTCTACTGAATCAATCCTGGCCACCCCCAGCAGGGGAGCCCAGACCCTAGGTGGGCAGATGGTCAGGACTTCAGAACTCTAATCCTGGCACACTCTTCTGTTTAGCTGAGCCTAGATGACATGATTATTTAAGGTCATATCCTCTAACCCAGTTCCTTCTTTGCAGTTCAAGAAATTACTGGGGACTCTGATGTGCCTATTTGTAGCATCAAAACTCCAAAGACCTTTGGCTCCGCTCTGCAGAGAGGAAGGGTGACAGATGCTAAGGACAGTACATTCCTCATTAACACCTCCATGGATACGGGAAGATGGGAGCCACCAAGTTTAATGCTTTGAACTCTCTAGACCCCTTACCTCTTTTGCATGCCGTTGGTTTTCCAGCTCTGGGCCAGAACCACACTGCTCACCACTGGCTTCCCCCGCAAGGTCACATAATCATCAGTCAGGTCCCCATTGAAGTTGCCACAGAGGCCGCAGACTTTGTTCTGCAGCCTCTCACTGATGCTGATTTTAATGACATTGAAACCATTGTAGTAGATCTGGATGTCGGGGCTGGTGTCAATCACCAGAAACCCCTCACTGCTGTAGATTTTGGTAGCTAAACCAGTTATAAATGGAACGTTCACTTGGGTGCCATTCACCTATTGGAGGGGAGGGAGAAAGTAAGTCATTACCCTGAAAGCTGGGGTTGGCTAAACTATTCAGTTAGGGCCAGGTGTTGCAGGCCCTAGGAAATTTATCTTAACTACCAACTCTACCCTTATAGCATAGAGAAGCCACAGCAGTTACAAACATGTAACTAAGTGAGTGTGGCTGTGTGCCCAATAACAGCTTCATTTACAAAAACAAGCAGCAAGCAGATTTGGCCACAGGCTGTGGTCTACTAACCTCTGCCCTAAAGTTTAAGGGCATGTACTTTTCTTACCCTCCATAGTTTTCCCAAAGGAAGCAAACTATGGAGGAGAAGAGGGGGAGGAGGTCGAGAAGAATGTGTTAGACCAGCATAACCCACAGCGAATAGCTGGCGTTCTGTGTTAAACTTGCCCCAGCATAAACCAATTACTGAAAATGACATTCCAATCCAAGGAGATTCCAACACAGTTAAAATGGATCAGGGGATCATTGCCATGCTTATTGTTTTCTTGTTTATAATGTTCAAACCTGAGGTTCCCCCCAGAGGTCCTATAGATACAGTATTTTCTACAGACGTCATTTTCCTGCTTTATAACATTTTCTTTTCTTAGCCCTTGGGATAGAATATAACATACTTTTTCTGTACTTACAAAATAAATTGTTTTTTCCCCTGCAGGTTATTAGTAACTTTTGTTTCATAAAAAAGGCAGATGCCTTTTAAAAATATATGTCCTTACTATTTTGGCTAGTTTGGGGTATTTTATTCAGCAACAATGTCAGTTTTGCTCTCTCAGGTAGTCACTTTCACTTTCTTGCTCCTGTGTTCTGGACCAATGCTATAGTGTCCATGCGGGCTAATTTGAAAAAGGAATTAGAATGTCAAAAACAGTAGCAGCTGCTTTAATTGAAGTTAAAAACCAGTATGAAAAACCAGATTTTTCCTTTTAAGCTTGAAAAATACAGGCAGTCTTTTGCCTAACACTGGATACTAAGCTATTTGATGATTCTTCAAATAAAGATACATTAATGCCTGATTATCTGAGCCAAGAACAAAAAGCAGACATATAACACTTGGTTCCAAAAAAATGTTAATATAGTCTCTTCGCATCCCTCCCTATCTGTGCTCAGAGCAATGGCACCTGGCTCTACCTTTCAGGTCTACTTGCTGAGATCAGTTTGGTTTAGGTGAGAATTTGGGGTCCCTGTCAATAGTTCATCAAAGCAATTATATTCTTAACCTATTAAGTCCCAAGTTTTCAATTCTGCAGATATTTCAATGAAATCAACACAGGTACATTAAAATGGGTTGGAAACAATAATCTGGAGCTTAACTATATTATTGTATTAATATTATTATAACATAATCATAGTCTTCCTAGCATATAATTATATCATATAATTATATACCATATACTATATTTTAAGTTTTTATAGGTCTTCAACATCTGGGATGATGGAACAAATGGATTAAGTGGAAAGGGTAGGAATTCAAATGAGACATTAGCTATGTGGTTAGATAGGGACTTCACACTTATTTACATATCAAGTCTAAGGTTCACAAAAAGCAGGCAACAGGCCCAAGGAAGAGCCAGCCTCAGCAAAATTTGCCATATTCTGTCTCCCATTTTCTTTCCCATGGTATCTCATCAGGACCTCTGATAGTGGGGGATGCTCCATCAGGTTTTATTTAGGTAGTTGTTTTTATAGGCAAATGCTCGCCTTCTCTTGGTTTACAGAAAGGATGGCAGAGATGAAGGCTGGTCTGGTACAGGTTAGCAGAGGCAAGAATAATTTAAAAGGCTCTTAAAAACAAATGAGATGCTTTTTGGAAATTAATTCAGAATAAAACCCGACTTATCTACCATTTTATCACCTGAAACTCTATTACCACCCAGGCCATTATTACTGCCCTGAGATGCTGTAAATTTCCTGCAAGGCCTCTGGAAGCATCCGTGAGGGATGGAATGGGCCCCATTCGTACGCCGGTAGAAACCTTATGCTTGGTCATTTGCGTACGGTTACATAAGAAGCAACAACCTATTACCCTACAACTTAGTTATCTGGGAAAACCGCAATGAACAGTCCACTAGCCAAACCCTTGTTTCCCGGGCACATTTCTTAAGAATCAAGGGCAGGCTTGTCACCTTGACGGTGTTCCGGTCATTAATCAGAATCTGCTCTTCGTTAATGTAGAAATAGACGGGCGAAATGATGGTCAAGTTAGGGGAGGACCACTTGTCGAAGTTGATGATGAGCTGGAAGGAGATGTCGGGGAGCTTCTGGCAGATGGTGGAGAGTACGAAGGCACAGTTGGCGGGGAAGCGGAGGAAGGCGCCGTCGAAGGTGCGGAAGACGCCGCCGCCTGCCGCCAGGCAGTAGGAGGTCTTGGTGCTGAAGCAGCCGCGCACCCCGTTGCGCAGCGCGCACTCTTCGTCCGATTTGCACTGGCGCGGGTCGCATTGGATGAGGTTGCGCCGGAAACAGCGACACCGCCGCGTGCAGTCGCTGTTCCAGAACAGCTGCTTGGGCTGGAAGAAAGTGGGCGTTTGAGTTAAACTCAGGCTGTGGTCAATACTGGGGAACTCAAAGCCCCGTCCACCTGGACCCTGTACCAGGCTGGGCTAGCCTATCTTTAACAGGGCTGCAGTTTGCAATAGGGAGCAGTAGGGAGGCTGCCTCAGTTCAAATGCTCCATCAGTTCCATGCAACTCAGATGCCAAATAATATGCAATTTAGACTTTATTGGTTTCAATCAAGAACTCTGGAATCTTTATGGCTGGATTGTAGAACTAATCACAGCCAACCTGAATGTGCAGCTGTTAGGTGAAGAAGAAAATACATTGTAGATTTTTTTTTTTTTTAAACCAAGGAATCACACTTCTAACAAGTACAGGCTTCACTTCAAGGATGAAATTTAAATTCACTTGAGAACGAAAAATCAGCCCTTCAAATAGTCAAAAGAAAGTGATGATCAACTCTTAGGATTAACCATTTCAACACTTCACAACTCTCACCCTTCTAAACATTTCCCTTGTGTCTAGTCTACTTCTAACTTGCTCTTGTTGCCAGTGCCTCCATTTCTCTGGGTCTTGAATGTGAAAGATCTAGTGAACAGCTAGGTTTCATGAAAGGAAAATTTGGGATTAGACAACTTGGATGTCAGTCCCAGCCCTGTATCTACATGTGCTATCTTGAACGTTACTAACCTCCCAGAGTCAGTGTGTTCATCTCTAAATTGGAGATCATAATCATGTCTTGCAAGTAATTGTAAGGGAAAATTAAGCAAAACGTGGAAAGCATATTTCCTGGCATAGAGTAGCTGTTGTACATATCACAAAAGAAACACCACTTATCTTCCTTCAGATGATGAAGGAACTATATATAAAGTTATTAAGATACATACAACACAGGTTATCCTCAATTGGAGGCAGCTATTGTTTTCTATTCTTCCCCAAATGGGGAACATCTGTAGGCATGACTCTACCAGTTAAAGCTTGTATTCTTGATCTTGTACATGCTCTGTACTAAGAATTCCAGGGAACTGTTGGAAAACCATTTTGACAGTCCAAGTGGGGTATGGTCTTGATAAACAGACTAAGACATTAAGATGTGGGCCCTCAGGTGGAGTATCCCGTATTTAAAATGCTTGAGATCAGAAGGGATTTCAATTTGGGATTGTTTTCCCCAAATTTTGAAATATTTGTATATATGTTACAAGATATTTTGGATATAGGATCCAAGTCTAAACACAAAATTCATTTATTTCACATATACCTTCTACTCATAGCCTGAAGGTAATTGAATACAATATTTTAAATAATTTTGTGCATGAGATAAAGTTCCATGGAGTGGACTTTTTTACTCATAGCATCATGTCACCACTCAGAAAGTTTTGTATTTTGGAACATTTTGGATTTCAGATTTTTACATTAGAGATGCTCAATCAGTATCAATTGATCAACACAGTCCTATCCAGAAACGATATTTTAATGGAATAAAAAGGCCTGCTCACTGTTTTCTGCTTTAACTTACAGACTTATCAAAACCTCATATCAACTATAACTGTGACTCTGATTCAAGAGTAAACAGGCAGAGGGTGAAATCTTCCATTCCAGTTCACTGCAACGTGCCTTTGCCAATTCTTTCATCCTCAAAGTTAGGTAGTTCCTGGAACTGAGTCTTCTCTTCTTCCAGATCTATAACATATTCTGGGTGCCAGCAGCCTCACATATTGACTTCATTTCTCTTATCAGATTTATGGAATAATTGAGTGGTTAGTCTGGCCTCTCTCTGATAAAAACTCAGACATCACATTGGTAGAGAGAGAAAACAACCTAATCTATGTGGATATGTGGTCAAGGGTAAATAACTCATCCACAGGAGGACTTGATCATGAAACTAGCATCTCAGGAAAGTGGCTGGCCCCATGCCGCTTTCTTTACCTTAATTAGACATGACAGCCACAGCTGGTGATTACCCTACATGCAAATGGCTAGATGTCTCTCTTTATTTCCAAAGAAATCTGCTGTATAAACAAGCCCCCAAGCTTGTTTGAACTGTGGCAAGTGGATGTGGATTGTTTATTCTGTGAGTTTGCTGCTTCCCAGATAGAAGCTGTTGTCAAAACCCACTGACTTTCTGATGAAAGCCAGATAATAATGTTTATAGTACTAATGGCTGCCCAGAGCTGTTCTGTGCCTTTCTTGAGAGTTCCAAGGGCTTTTATATGCATCCTTTCATTAACATGCCTGGACTGTTATTCATGAAATGTTTCTCAAGAGAATAACAACAACAATAATAGCAGCTACCAATTACTGAATGACTAGGGGACAGGTACTAAGCTGGGCACCTGGCTTAGGTCACTTATACAAGGACCCAATGGAGTTGGTATTTTTAGCCATGTTTCATTCATAGCAAAACAGAAGTTCAGAGAAATGCAAGTTGGTTCAGTGTCACACTTCCAGGAGTGGTATGGCTAGGGTCAAACCCAGGTCTCATTCCCATATGCCACACCAATATGCAGGATACCTGCAGAGGGGTGCATGACACAGTTGATAGATGCCTTTTGGCTAAGAGACAAAAAAATAGAGGAATGTTCTTTGGGTTTTGAGCCTGATTATTTTTTCTCCCAGATTATGAGAATACTGACCTTATTATTTTCTCCTCCATGTTTTGCCTCTTCTTTTAAATATTTCTAAGAGCTAACTTCAATACCCCCATAGAGAGAGAAGCAGAGCGGGTATGGCAATAAACAGCCCAAACACTCTGGGGACAATATCAGAGTGACAAAGGACACATGTGGGGAGTTCATCATATACTTGGCTCTTAGCAGTCCTCTTTGATTAGTTCTACTGTTTTACTCTACTTCTCCTTTTTTCTAACATAGAATTAAAATACCTTTTCCAACGACAATGAAATTGAAGGTAATGTCTGAAGATAATGTGGACATCTCTAATCTCTTATTTATTCCCAAAGACAACTTAGTTGTCCTTGAACAAGTCAATCCATCTTTACAAAAAGAAGACATTATTTATTTTTTGCTTAGTTGATTTCCAATTCAAACGTTTCAATTAGATTTCTTTTAAAGGCTACTATACTCCTTCATTTAAAATTGATTCATTCAGTGGGGTATTCTTTTTCACTTAATGATATGTTATTTTGTAATTCTTATTTTATTCTTTAAAGCACATTTTTTTTTCCTCTCCTGAATCTATTTTTTAAGTTCCTTAAGGCAGGGATCACACAATCTCATGTCTCACAATATCATCAGCATCGAGGTCTGCAAACAGCAGACTCTCAGTATTTGTGTTTGTTAACTGTCTACTCACCCACCTAAGTGTTGATGTCTCTTAAACAGAAAAGGGGTTAGAACCGTGAATGGAAGACCTGTAGCAGGGCCTTTTCTAGCTTAGTGTTATGGCACAGTAAGAAAGATTACAGGGCTGGGGGTATAGCTTGACTAGCAGGCAGAAAGCCCTGGGTTCAATCCCCAGCACAAAAAGAAGGAAAGAAAGGAAGGAGGGAAATTTGATTACAAAGTCTAAAAAGTAAAATGACTTAGTGAGCAAATAGGTTTTGTTGGGAAACAGTGATAAAAGGGCTAAGCTCTGTGCTTAAGCTCCCATAGGGAGAGAAGCAGAGAGGGTGTGTCAATAAGCAGCCCTAACTCCCTGGGGATGACATCAGAATGACAAAGGGCACTTGTGGGGAAGTTTCAATAGTCAGAGAGGGAAGGCCACTCCTCCCAGCTTCAAGCACTGTATTTTCCAGTTAAAAATACCCTTAGCTAAGACAGCTACAAATGTCAGATTCACAGCCACCATATTTCCAAACTAGAGCCATGTCAGAAGCTTGCAAACTGAGATTTACAGAGAGGAAAGGAGAAGGGCCCATGCTCCAGAGAAAGGCCTGAGAGGGAGGAGAAGAGGGTGAGGGGCACAGGCTCTGCTCTTCTGGATCTGGCAAGGAGCTAGAGCTTCCTCCGAAGGGTCCTTAGCCTCTTCGCCCTCTCCCACCTTCCTGACAATCAGCACTACGGTTTTCATCATGGAGGGGGAAGACCTGGTAATTCTGACCACCCTCTTGGAGTTGGAGAGGAGTCTGATGATGGGCAGGGAGGAAACGGCCGGCTGGCTCCCATACCTCGTAATATTTGCCGTCTGAGTAGCAGCCGCAGTTGTGCGGCAGGATGCAGCTCTTGCCGTTGAGGACGTAGCCTGGGTCGCACTGACAGCCCTCCACGCAGTAGTGGTTGCAGTCGCTCTTTAGGCGGATGGCGGCACAGCGGGGCTGGCACACGCTCACGCAGCTCTCATAATGGCTGTTGGGAGGGCAGGTGACCGCTGGGACAGAAGAGACAAGTCAAGACTCGCGCAGTTGCGCAGCACTGTAAATGGCTTTCTCGCAGCGATTGCTCAGGAAGATGGAGGCCAGAGGTGAGGGAGGAGGTGTGAGGCCCGCCACTGTTCCTCCTTGTTACCCTCTGCTTATGGAACGCCTCCATCTGGCTCGTTATTGATTAAATAATGGGTCAACGTGCAGACAGACAGAGGGTGCCAGAGCCTCCTCACCCTTGGTTTTTGAGATCTTTATTACCTGTCTCCTTAAACTCACCTCCCAACATGGACCTTCACTTTGGTTAGGGATGTTTCCTCACCATTCCAGCATTAGATCCTCACTCACATTGATCTCTCTTTCAGGCCCCTCTTTGTTCTCTTAGCCTATTCAAATTCCCCATTCTTCAAATTCCAGTTGGGATTCTTATCCATAGAACTCACTTCTGTACCAATGTCAATTCACTTGTCTTTACCTCAAAACTTCTACAGGACTGTTTTGGCAAAGGAGTGGTTTTTCTACCATAGACAGCTGGGCCCCATGATCACTGAGAAGGCAAATGTGCAGTGGTGTGTGTGTGTGTGTGTGTGTGTGTGTGCGCGTGCGCGCGCGCACGTCTACCATTTTTTTGTGGGGGGCTACCCGGTATTGAACTCAGGGGCACTCGACCACTGAGCCACATCCCAAGCCCTATTTTGAATTTTATTTAGAGACAGGGTCTCACCTGAGTTGCTTAGTACCTGGCTTTTGCTGAAGTTGGTTTTGAACTCACAATCCTCCTGCCTCAGCCTCCTGGGCCGCTGGGATTATAGGTGTGTGCCACTGCGCACAGCCATTTCTACCATTTTTCAAGGGCATCTAGATGCATTTAAGGAAGACAAGTAGGGTCCTGGTGAGGAATGTGGGCTCTGACAAGTGACCCAGGAGAGTTATTTCACCTCTTTGAGCCTCAGCTTCCTCTTCTATAAAATGCAGATTCCAACAGCACCTACCTCATGGTGGGTGTAATGGATTAAATGAGTTTGTATGCTTGGCCAGTGCTGGGCACAGAAGTATTCAGTAAGCATTAGCCAATCATTAAGGGTAAGTTTGCTTGAAAGTTTTGGAAAAGCTATTATCTTAATCAATATATACTAAAGGCACCACAACAATTACAATTTTGGGGGAACTTCTATCCTAAACAACAATATACAATATGTTTTGGGGGTTTATTTTATCTAGTAGTGAAATGTTCTTTTGGAATGCATAATTCTATGAATTCTAATACAAGCATAGATTCATAGGACCACTACTACAATATACTGTACATTTTTAAAAGTATTTTTAGTTCAAAGGATACTATCTGCACATGATAGAAAATGCAAACCATATCAGTGCATAAGGAAAATTTTAATAACAATTACAATCAATTCTTCCAGAAATTTTCTATGCATATACAAGCATGTGTGTGTGCATATGTGCATCTTGTACCTACTATTATTTTACATAAACAGGAACACAATCTACAAATCTTTCTGTTCATTGCTTTTTCATGGCAATTTTCTTCCATTTAGTCTCGAATTATTGTTTTTGCTCCACTGTATGGTGTGTATATTTTATGCATTTACGATGATGTGGCAGTGAATATTGCTGTACATATATTCTTGTCCTCCTGAGTCTGTAGAATAAGTTCCTAAAAGTGGAATTTCTGAGTCAAAGGGTATGCACATTTATTTATTTATTTATTTCAGTGCTGGGCATTGAACACAGGGCCTTATGAATGCTAGACAAAAGCTCTACCATTGAATTACATGCCTGACCCCTTAAATTTTTGACAGATGCCACTGAGCTGCCTTCTAAAGAGGCTGTGCCGATAGATTTAATCTATTCTCACTGACTGCTTTGCACCATCTTTTCTGATTCCTAGAAATAGGAAAAGTTAAAAATGCTGTATCTGCACTTAGTTTGCATTTCTTTGTGAAGTGGATCATCTTTTCATTTGTTTTTAATCCATTTGTATAGTTTTTTGTGTGTGAATTGCCTTTTCATATTCTTTGCACATGTTGTGTGGTTAAAATTTCTTCTTATTAAATTGTAAAAGCTTTTTATAAATTAAAAAGAGGCTTTTATGTGTCACGTGTGTTATAAAACATTTATCACTTGTCTTTCACTTTGCTTTCTTTAAAAATTTTTGTACTTGTTTCAGTTTTTGATTATGTTTTTGCTATGAAGAGATATGAAATTTTAATACTGTTAAATTGATCAGGTTTTCCTTTACAACTTTAGAGTATTTTGCTTAGGAAAGCCCTCTTTACTACAAGATTACTAAAAAATAGCAAAACTCCTTAGTTTTTTACCAGTACTTTTATAATTCAATTTTTTAATTTAATCTTTCTTCTGTCTGGACTTGATTTTACAGTGAGGAGAGAAGAAGGGATTTAGCTATTTTATTCCCAGCTAATTTGCCCTTCGTCCCTTTACTATTTATTAAACGATATATTTTTTTCTCCAGTGATCTACAATGCCAGCTTGACCATATACTAATTTCTATTTAGTGTTCAGGGTTATTTCTGGACAGTCTCATATTTTCACTGATTGACCTTTCACTCATGTGCCAATATTAACTTGTTTTATTTTTATCACTAATATATTTGGTTTAACTTGTTCATGAGCCAGTATTAACAGTGTTTGAAGTTCTACAATATGAGTTAATGTCTGGGAAGAAGTTCGTTGTTCTTTCAAGTACTTCAAATGAGTCCTATTTCTTCAACTAGTCTACAAACTCCAAGTCTTATGCTTTGGATTCTTCCATGGCATCCAAAGCAATGCTGAAATTATGGCAGGTGGGCAATTACATTTGATTTTCAAAAACAAACTTTCAAATTCCTTATACTGATTTGCTGCTTCTTTCTACCCCTGAATGCAGTCTAGAGAGCTGAGAAGTGACACCTGGCTCTGCACCTGGATTTTCACTGTGGTCAAGACTGTGACTTTCCTTGTGGCCAGGAGATCCTTTTAGCAACTGTGCCCTGAGGAGACAGCAGGATGAATGGATCCACTGAAAGCAATAATACACAACAGAATGGACAAGGGCTTTGGAATTAGACTGATTTGGTTTTCAGCCCTGGCTCTAACAATAACTAGGAGAGTCAATGTGGTCAGGTTCCTCTCCCTCTCTGAACCTTTGTTTTCTCATCTGTAAAATGGGGATGAGATGTTTCCCTCATCAGGTAACAGTTCAGATAAAATGAGATACAATTTTTGATGCTATCCAGACTTTGCTTTTCCTTCCCACAAGTGACAAAGTGCGGTACTTTAATGATAGCTTCTGATATCCATGGTAGTACTAGTTATAGTAGTCAGAGCAGGAATTACTTTTTAAGAGTTCGATTAAATTTTATTGGATATGCAGAGAAATAAGTAAGAAAATTCACAATTATAGGACTTTGGACTCAGGACCCTGAAATAGCAAAAACTCCCTCTGGTAAAAGGGAAAATGATAATGATAGTTGACCTTGACTGATGGCTTCCCATAATACATCAGGTGCTGAGTCTCCTCGGGGTCACATCTCTGAGGAGAACACTGTCTCTGCCTACTGAAACAAGTCCACACAGCCCAACCAGGAAAGCCCACAGCAAGAGCTAAGGAGGGATTCAGTTACTAGTTATCGCTTCTGTTACTGTATTCTCACCATCCGCTGCTCTAAGTTCCACATTACGGGGCTGGGAGAATGATACTCGGCTGAAGGAATTTTAAGAAGGGGTTGGTAATTAAGACAATTTACCTCCCCTTCTCCCTCAGCCCATTTGTTCAACTTGGGTGGAGAGGTTTTTCCAATGCATTTACAAATAAGATAATTGAGTAATAAATTATCCTATTGATACGAACAGCCAATATCTTTGAAAAACACAGGCATTTTACCTTTTTGCCAATAAAGCACAAGTTTAAAGGGCAATCTGACTTAACCCCTTTTTTCTGAAAGCACCATTTCTCATATCTCAGTGAGCATTGAATTGGATTAATTTTAGTAGAATGAAAGGGATGGAGGTCAGTCCTGCTCTCACTTCTCAGAGGTCAAAGTCACCTCAAATAGAGTTACAAATGACCATGCTCAGGCCAGGTTTTCTGTTGAATAGATGAGGTCGTACTCAATCACTTGCAGATTTTCCCTGCTTCTGGAATTCAAAATGGAAGACTAAGTGACCTCCAGCTGTGCCTTATTCCCCACCCACATACTGTCTTCCAAGTATTTATTATAACTTTTTAAAAGTTTTCCTGCCCTTCATTACCACCATATCTTCTGGTGCTCTGTCTTTTGGATCTTTGCCCTTGTCCTGAAATGCTGAAGCAAAGGAAGGTCTAAACCCTTGCAATGGGAACTGTTCTTTATCACCTGGTGGCTCTGATGTGTCAGCCTGGGATGTCCTGGAGGCAGCTGGTCTTGGATGGGGCCCAAGACTCAGATGGAGGTGGGGCAGACTCGGCTCTGAGTGCCATAGGTGGAGCTCCCCATGACAAGTTTAGCCATAAAAACAAAGTAACCCATGTCTGGGCAGAACTTTAAGGAGAGGAGAGGACAGAGTTACTGGTAGAGGGGACTGGAGGACAAGAAAAATTGTCTTCATATTCTTTATCCTTAGCCAAGCCCAGTGGGGTAGGATGAACTTCTTCCTTGGAAAGAAGGTTATAGGGCTTGCTAACTCAATTCCTTTTCTTTCCCATGAGTGACAAAAATTGAGACCACCAGTTGAGGTGAGTGTTCCTGGTATTAGTCCCCAGTGCCTTTCCCTGTTCATTAGAATTGACAGGTTTTGGATGGTGGCCCCCTAATACCAGCCACTCCAGAGAGCAGTACAGCCACCAGCCATGGCAACAGGTAAGGGGAGCTCCCTGTAGTAGGTTTTCAAGAGGAAACCTTGGGTGAAGAGGTTTCCCTTCTCAAGGGGAGAGGAAGTCTCACCTTCCAAACTGGTTTACTGATCCTGCACCATGTTAAGGCCTCTGGGTCCAGAGTGTGGTTTTCTGATTTAGAGGAAGCCAAGCTCTCCCAGCCTATAAGTGACACCCACATAGCTCTAGGGATTTATCCAGACCTTGACTTTTTCATAGGCAGATTTATTTTATTGAAAACACTATAGACCAATTCATCTGGAAAGTCACCCCTAGTGGCACCATGTCCCCACCTCCCTGGCTCAGAGACTGAGCCTAGATCAAACAGTATTGGCACCTTTTCCGTCCCTCTCCCCTCTTCACCCTCTCTCTCTCAGGGACTGCATGTGGAATGTAAAGTGTGTGAACATTAAACCACAATTCCATTTCTGGTTCTTCATCCAAATCTTCCTTTTACAGGATGAAAATGGGAGTCGATTCTCGGGGAACCCTGCTGTATCCCTTACTTAGAGCTCTAGGCATTCAGAATCAATTTATATAGCCTTTTTATACAGTCAGATCTTCTAAAAGAAATTTGCAGTACTTAATGAGACTGAGATGGGAAAATAAACCACGCAGGTTAGCCAAAGACCAGCGGTGGTTTCCCCTCCCAACCTTTTCCTATTTGCACATGCTAAACTCAAGCAAATATCCCAGTCCATATCCATAGAATAGTGTATGGGCTTTGGGGTTAGAAGTTCAAATGCCAACTTTGCCACTGAAATTTTATGATCTTAGGCAAGTTACTTAACTCCTCTGAGTCTCAATTTCTCCTTGCCTAATTGGGTTATTGAGAAGAATAAATGAGATAATGTGGATAAAGCGTTTAGCACTGGGCTTGGCCCAGAGCAAGCCATTAATATAATAACGCCACTCAGCATGCGTTGCACGTGCTGGTGTTCCAATTACCTAATTTGATCCTCCTGACGTTTCTGTAGCATAAGTGGTACAGGCAGCATTGACACTGCTCTTTGGAGGGGGAAACTGAGCACAAGGGATGGAAAGTAAATTGCTCCAAGGTCACACAGACCCTTAAGGACAGAGTCAAGGCTAGAATCCAGGAACTCTAATGCTTTTAATATTCTGCTATATTTCTTAAGCACAAAGACTGGAATGTGATATCTATGAATAAAATAGAATGATGCACTTAGAGAAAGCATATAAATGATCAATGCCATGGTGGACCCATGAAGTTCTAGAATGGAAGAATGAATTAACTAGCTGACTCTCTCCCCACTAGTGTCTGGTTAACATTTTATTGTGCACTTGCTGAATCTGAATGCCACGCATAGTGCTTTATATGTCTGATTGTATTTCATCCTCCAGAGTAACTCATTGAATAAGTGGTATTAACCCCATTTTACAGATAGGAAAATGGAGGTTACATATTTTGTTTCATATAATGAACTCAGTATCAAAGTGCATATCCTTAAATCACTTTACTCAATCATTTGGCTTCTATGGAGTTGGAAGACTGTCCTCCCTCACCAATCAAGAAAAGGGAGAAGCTATAGGGAGAGATAAGGAGGAGAACTCACAGCAGGATGTGTAATTCCTCCAGCCGGTCACTGCAATCCCCTGAGTCTGGCAAGTACTGGCGTAGTTCTGCAGCCAGCTGCACGCAGTCTGCACCGCGCCCCCATCAATGCAGGAGTCAAACAGGCAGTTCTTGTAGAAGAAGGTGGGATTGACTTTGCTGTGACACTTGGCAAAGCCGGCGTTCTGGTTGGGGATCAAGCTGCACAGTTGTTGCACCTTAGAGAAACCTTCAACCTTGGCACAGGATGGACAGCGGTCCCCACAGCCCACCTGGCAGAAGGTGTCCCTCTTCACCCAGCTCTGCCCAAACTCACTGACACTCAGTGCAAGCAGACCCATGGGCATCTCCAGGTCATCGTCAGGGTTGCCATTGTAGCGGCCACACAAGCCATAGGTACTGTTCTGCATGCTCCGAGGGACCGTGATGGACAGGAAGGTCTTCCAGTCATACACAACCTTCAGGCCAAAGTCAGTTTCCACCACCACATGGAAACCAAAGGAAAAGATATTTATCTTCCCTTGTCCCAACTTCAGGGGCAAATAGAGCCTTTCACTGTTGACCTGTAAGAGAAGAAGGGTAGAGGGGAGAAGTACAATTGGCCCAGAGTCCTCAGCCCTCCCAATTTCTAGAAAGATAAGTCCCAGAGGGGAGCTTGGGCAGGTTGGATGGAATCTTTGCATGTACTGTTGTTTATGGCAGTCAACTATTATTATTAGGATTTGAACAGACTTAAATGTCTATCCTTTGTACACTAATATACCTATTTATTTCAGTGCCTTCTGTTTATACAACATTATTTTCCCCCAGGAGTTCAAATTGTTTTCTCCAAGGTAATGAGAGGGTAATAAGAATTCAATTAAAGTTTAGACTAAAATACCAAAACTAGGACTTTTGTGTTTCTATTTCCAGCTCTTTTGTGGATTTATTTTAGGCGAGTCCCAATTTATTAATTCCTTTAGTTGTGTGATTTTTTTTTTCTTTCTTGGAGGATGACTTCATCCTCTAGGGTAACTCACTGGTCCCTCTGCCTGGCATGCCATCCTTCACCTGTCAGCATCCCTCTCGTCCTCCAGACCCTGCTCCAGTGTCCCCTCTTCTGTAAAGCAAGATTTTTGAAATCCAAGACCATGGTCAGAATTAATCACTTCCTTGCCCAGGAAAGCAGAGCATGTTATTTATATTTTCTTATATTCTTCTCCATTTGGGGCCAAGATCAAGCTTGTGCGTGCTGCCATGGATGCAAACAACACCATCTGCCTTATATCATGGTTGGTTGTATATGCTTCTGTCTCACCTGCAAGATTATGAGCAACCTGAGGGCAGGGATTGCATTTTATTGACCTTTATGTCCACCTTCCCCTCTTGACTTTCATGGTGATCCACAGCACAATACATCACATGAAAGGGACACTTGACACCTGTTTCCTCACATATATTTCTAAAGTCAGACAACAGGGAAATCCCTTAACATTAAGCTCCAGAACTGTTGTGCCCTTGAAATATTCTGATTATGATAAGTTACATCTTAGAGCCTGGGCTGGGTTAGAGCATGACAGAAAATAGGGGTTTCCAGATGCTCACAGCAGCCAGGGCAACAGAGAGCAGGAGAGCTGGGTGTCCTTGAGAGAGAAGCAGGTGTTTTAACAGTGCTTTCTGACCAGAAGTCCCTCCCCTGACCTCCTGCATCTCTCTTCCAGCCCCCTCACAACCACACAGCTCCTACCTTAGTTGAGATGCCCATGATCTTTCACCCTTCAGATGGAATCACCTCCTAACTTACCTCCCTCTCCTTCATTCACCTACACCTGCCATCTTTAAAAGACAATTGAAAGCAACTGAGCTAATACTTAAAACCCTCTCCAGGTCATGATGAAAAGTCTGACATGCTCAGCACACCCCACTGGGCTCTCCAGGGGGCCCTGCCTCTCAGAGCCAGCCCACTTGGTCCTCCACACCGGCTGTACTCACAGTTTGTAGTTTCTTAACAGGACCAATTATGTCTTCTCATCCCACCAGTCCTATGCCTCAAGTGGGACTGATGCTTTCCATGTCCTATCTGGGGTCCCATTCCCAGACTCTGACTGTGGGCTCCCCAAAACTCAGCTGGACTTGGTTCAATGGGACCCACTTTGTCCACAAACTAATGAGCACCCACTCCAACTCTTCCACCCCCTGGATAGCCCTTGGTCAATGACTGACCACACTGAGGACTGACCCTGGGGTGCAGGTCATACTCAGAGCTTCTGGCCACCCAGGCTACAGATGGTCTCCAGGTCAGATTACAAGGGTGTTGGGCTCTTTTCCCCAGTGCTTCCCCCATTTCCCAAGAGTGTCCATCTCAGGCCTTGCTTCTAGGGCCCGGCCCTATATCAGCAAGGAGGCCCTTCCTCCACACCCTTCCACAAGGCACTGCTCACCCTTCAAAACAACTCAACTCTGTCCTTTCTTATGAAAATGTGTCCAGGTTGAATTCATTCATCTAGTTGGCACTACTGAGTGCCAGGCACTGTACTAGGCTGGGATGAAGCATAGGCCCTTTTTCTAAGAGCTCAATGGTATGTGGCAGAGACAAGAACATAAACAGATAGTAAGACCAGCTGATAAAAGCATAGAGGCAAACAGATGCATAGGCACCAGACTTGGCCTGAGGAAAGGTTCAAGGTTGCCTGCAGAAGACGATGCCCACACCAGATACCAAAGGATGAGGAGGGCCTCATATGCAGTGTCCCACATGACAAAGAGGCCATGACATAAAGCCTGAAAAAAAAAGTCTTTTGAAAGAAAAGCTACCTGTGGTCTTAATAAGAGAATCTGATGATATAGCTGTAAGTCAGATTCTGGAAGCAAATAGCCAAGAGGAGACACAGAAGCAGAGATGACCAATGGAGGAGTCTGGCTGGGAAGGGAGGAGGGAGATTGGGGAACAACTGGAGGAGGGTTTACTTTACAGTAAGTATGTCCATGGGCTGAAGAGAAAGACCTCTTAGAAAAGGAAAGGTTAAAGACAAAAGAAGGCCTGGCCCCTGGGAAGGCAAGGGGTGAGGAGAGAGGAGATGCCTCCATCTTTGTGCCTGGAAGAGAGGAGGACAGAGGATGCCGTGGGGAGCCATCAAGAGCCAGGGTGCCTGGAGGGGGAGGAGAAGGGAGAGGGTGCTGGTAAGCACGGCTTCCTCAACCAGGAGGCCTAGAGGTAGAAGGAGGTGGCCCTGTGCAAATGCAGAACACAGGCTCTGCAGGTCACCTAGGGAAGCCAAGGCTGCAGAGACTCTGAACCGCACTAGAGGCTCATGAGCAGAAAACCAAAAGCTGTGCACTCAAAGGTGGCTGATGTGTGCCACCACGCGGTCCCTGAATTCTGTGTTCTGGGCTAGCTGGTGTCACATGGGAGGCAACACCTTGGGAGGCAAAAATAATGGCATTAAAGCTAAAAGGCTTGCAAATTCTGTCCCTGCCAAGGAGCACCCTGAGAAAGACACTCTGGCAGGCTCCACATCTCTCTGTCTCTGACACCCCATGGATGAGACCGCTTTTGTGCCACCACTGCCTCGAATCTCTCTGGAAGTGAGATACAGAGGGAAAGAGGGAGCTGAGGGGGAGGAGGTCAGAGGAAAAGGAGGAGGTTGGCATGGCAACAGGACTTGATGGATGGAGGAGGAAGAAAGGAAGGCACAGGGATCAGTGTGGGGAAACATTTGGGATATTTAAATACAATCACCCCTCCATGTCCATGGGGGGTTGGTTCATTACCCCTATGGACACCAGACTCTGAGGATGCTCAAGTCCCTTATAGGACAGTATTTTCACATAACCTATACACATCCTCCTACATACTTCAAATCATCTCTAGATGACTTATAATACATAATACCATATAAATGCTATGCAAATTGTTGTTATATTGTTTTGCTTGGGGATAATGACACAAAAATCTATACATGTTCAGTATCCATGCAATTTTATACATGTCTGTGTGTACACACACACATCTATAGATCTATATATGTATCTACCTGTCTGTCTACTTTTTCCCAACCCTAAGTTGGTTGAATCTACAGATGCAGGATCCATAGACTGTATCAGGAATAAGATCACACATTTGAGTTTCTGTAGCATTTCTCTCTAAACAACTAGCCTGGGCCTCCTACAGCCTCTTCAGTGGTCACACCCAGGCTTTACCTCCCACCTGGACATTCCCCTGGACACCCTCCTGTCACTCTCAGCATGGCAGATATACTCCTTCAGGGATCAGATCTAGGTCATCCCTGCCAAGATGCCCTCCCTGAAAGCCCCAGGCTGACTGGGGCAACCCCTCCTCTGCTCACAATTGTGGCCCTTTGAAACATTTTTACAGCACTTCGCATTACATTGACACTAACTGTTAACAGGTCCGTCGCTCCCCCACACTCTGAGCTCTCTTAGGATAGAAGACTTGTTTACTTTTTTTTTATTTTTTCTATTTTCATGTTTGATACTATCTTTCAAGAAACCTTCATCTCTTGGCACAAAACAGGCATCAATATCAGATTGTCAAACTAAACTAAGTCAGAGTGACCCTCAAACACCTCACTCTTCTCTGATGGTGACAAGACTAGTGAGAAGGACTCAGGCTTTGAAGACCCCTAAAACTTCCCTGTTGGCCTGGACATGAGTCTGGAAAAGAGGCCATCTCTGTTCAGTCCTGGCCTGGGACAGGCGAGAGCAGCATCCCGCAGCTCACCTGCCCAGGCTCACCTGCCGCTCTTCCCATCACCCAGCCTGGTCTATAAATAGCATGTTTTTCTCCACCTTCTTTTGGCTTAGTGGATTTTCTTTCGCCTTTGCAGATGCTTAATTCAGAGAAAGCTCAGAGTCACAGAAGAATCCTTGTCCCAAGGAATCACTTCCATGTCACCCTGCATGTCTGAGAGCACCAGCAGTGACTGAGGGCTCTGGGGTGTGTTCTGTCCTGCATTTCATTTCACACTGTCATCATGACAGCCATTACTCTTCAGGCTCAGGGAGAGATGGTGACTAATAATAACATCATGGGCAAAACAAATGCAAATCATCGAATAAGCAGATCCCATAAAACATATTAATAATTCAAAGTAGATGCTAAATCCATCCCTGGGGCCCCCAAAGGAAAGAACCTCCAGTGCATCCTGAGCTTGGTCTTCTTGCCAGGGCTTTGAGAGCCAGCTACTCTGTTCTCAGCTTGGGCACTTAGGACTTCTGGGTGACTTGAAATGAAGGGCCCTGGCAGGGCCCTTTACCCCTTTTATCGGATCCTCCTGCATGCCCATTTCTCTCTAATCGCCCCCAGTTGTAGGTGGAATTGTGTTCCCCCAAATGATATTTTGAGGTTTTATCCCTGGGACCCATGGATGTAACCTTATTTGGAAACAGGGTCTTAGTTGATGTAATTAAGATGAGGTGACAGTGGATTTAGTGGGCTCTAAATCCAATGACTCGTGTACTTAAAAATAAAGGGCAACATGGACACAGAGCAAAGGAGATCAGAACACAAGGTGTGCAGCCTCAGGTGTCCATCCACCTAAATACTGAGAATGTAACATAAAGCAGAAAGACTCTGCCCAATAAAGTAGGTGGGACAGGACCTATGAACAGATCTTATTAAAAAAAAAAGAAGAAGAAGAAAAAAAACCCCAAAAGGTAGAAAGGTGCAAAGGTGGTGAATGTCAAGGAGATAAGTAACTACATGAAAATGTCTAAACCTAGGGGTGGAGGTCTGTCAGCTGAGGCTAAAGGGGGGGAAAGGACAAATATGATGCCAGCTACATGGACAAAATGATTGATGTATTTGTTTTAAACTATAATGAAACTGGAGTAGAGGGAAGTTATTATAATGGGCAGCTTCAACTGTGCAGACATCTGCTAGAAAAAAGCAGAGCCTCTGATACATTCCTAACTAGCCTCATTGGCTCGTTTAATCTCTCAGCTTGCCAAAGAACGTGGCCAGCAGCAAAAGGAAACTCACAGGGACCTTGGAGGAAAGGGGTCACTTTATCACCTCATTTATTCACAAGTGTTTTGAGTGTTGCTGTGTGCAGGGCACTAGACATGCACCTAACATAAAGATGAATGAGGTGTGGATCCTATCCTTAACAAGCCCATGATTGGAACTGAGGGAGTCAGACACACACAAAAAAATACAAGAAGATTAATGAAGTAATGGATTCAGGACTAAACTGCTAGGAGAGGCATAGAGGAAGCAGCTGGGATTTAGGTTCCTGATATCCAAGAAAGTGAAGACGAAAAGGCAGGCTAAGACTGCTGCCTTAGATGCCAGCAGGCGTTTTATTTCCAATGAAGGTAAAGGATGACAGTTCAAGAAGCTGGGACCCCTCTTTGTCAGAGAAAGTAGAGTGAATCCCAGGGGGGAAACACAGTAGAGCTGCTCAGAGAACTTGAGCTTGGCGTGGTTAGTTTAGTTCAGTTTAGCTGAGAATTGTAAAGATGAAAAGGCAGCCCCTTGGAGACAGACGAGTTATGACACAGACCCATGAAGATAATGTCAAGAAGGTGAACGCCCTAAATCAGCTCCTCCAAGATGCCCATGCAGAGGCTGCTGGTCAGCTTGTTCATATTTCACATCCTGCTCAGACAAGATAGTGGAGAAGGAAGGGCTGGGCCTGTCGCCTGGGCTGCCATCACTGGGCAGTCCAAGGGGCATTCAGAACTCCACCTCTGCCCTGCTGCCCCGTGTCTTCACAACCAAGGGGGGGGGGCAGGGGCTCTTGGGTGGAAAAGCTTGGAAGGTAAAAAAGAGGGTCCTGAAGCCCAGAGAGTAAAGAGATTGCTGTAGATGTGAGCAAGACCCTTGAACTCTGGGATGTCATGGGAGCCACGGGGAGACTAGAAGAGATGGCAGAGGCCAGAGAAGGCAAGTTCCATTCTGAACAAAACAGGGAAAGGGTAGATCAGGACAACAGGCCACTGAGACATGCAACCTCTTATAGACCCATGACAGAACTGGAGGTTCTGCATCCTCTGTGCCCAAGGATGCATAGAGGTCACCAAGCTGGGATTTCAATCTGGGCCAATTTTCTCTCTCCAACAGACCCTGCTATAATATGAAAGGTACATTTCTAAAGCTACATTTCTGCCAATTTGAGGTCTGTGACTTGGGCAAATTCTTTCTTCACCCTGAGCCTCAGTTTCCTAGTCTGTAAGATAGTGACAGAAATTCTCCAAAGTCTGCCTGCCCCAGTACACTATGATTTTCTTTGGATGCTAGACCAGCCCGATTCAGCTGCAGCCTGGCTGGTCAACCCAGGACCTCTGTCCTCATGTACCCACGATTCCCTCCTCAAGATCAGCCTGTGACTACTCACCAACACGGTGTGCTTGTAGGCCCGGTGAATCACGATGCTGTAGCCAAACACAGTCACATCCACCTGCTTGACCCACAGGGCCAGTGATGGGTCCCGGTCCTCGTTCTTGGCTGTCACGATGAACTTGGGGAAACGGTCTGAGCTCGGCCGGCTTCCTGTAGTGCACAGGATGAGTGGACAGCTAGTTTGGAAGTCAAAGGGGTAGCCATCAAAGGTAAGGTAGTGGCCGTAGCCCGAGACGATGCAGGAGGCGTCGGTGCGTGGCTGGCAGGAGTACAGGCTGCCCTCCTCCATGCAGTACTCGTCATCCTTGCAGGGGATGGTCTCACAGTGGACACTGTTGTCTGTGCCATTGCAGTAACAGAAGATCTGGCAGTCCTGGTCCACCCAGAAGGTCTCATTGGTGGCAAGTTGGTGCCCCTCGAAGTTGCAGCCGCACTCGCTCCGGGTCACGCACTGGCTGCCCAGCAGGGCATAGCCCTCGTCACACTGACATCCCTCCGAGCAGCTGTCTACGCAGATGGGGCCCAGGGCCAGTGTCTCACAGGTTTCTGTACAGGTAATGCACTCCTCGAAATGGCTGTTCTCTGGGCATTCCAGAGCTGAAGGTGATCAAAGAGAAAACAGGCTGGAGAAAGGTGTGCGCAGTGTGCGTGCGTTCTCACAGCTGTGGGCATTCATGCTTGTGTAGCACTGTGAGCTCAATGAATGCATGTGAGGGGCACCATCGTCATCCTCATTGGGGGTCACCAAAGGCCCAGAAAATCCCGCATTCACAGAGCCCATTAGTGTGCTTAGTTTTCCATGTAGAAGATTCTGAGACTACAGGCCAGAATTAAGTACCTGCCACGTGCCAGGCACCATCCTATGCCCATGTTTACCTCATCTCAGGACAGTACGGCAGGTTTTACCCTCCCTATCCTACAAGCAAGGACATGGAAGTTCAGTGATTTAACTTATCTAACTAGTAAGAGCCAGAGAAGGATTCAAATCCAGGTCTCCTGACGTAGACTCGGGAGCTAATGATGTGCTAGGAACAACATGTGCCTTGGGACCAGAGACGTGGGGATGCTGTTCTCTTAACTGACTTGCTGATGTCTCTGAGCTTCCATGTCTTCTTTTATTAAATAAGTGCCAAGTTTACCTATAGGACTGTTCCGAAGGCTAATAATCTAGTATATGAAGTCCATTATGGTCTCAATAAATAGTACGCCCTTTCTCTTTGTACTTCCCTCTCTTATATAGACAGGCCTTCTGCAGGCATTTTTACTCTACAAATTGGTCCAATGTCTCTCTCTTTATCCTTGGTTTCTCTGCTCCAGGGACCCTCTGGTCTCCTCCACCTCCTCACCACCCTCTGCACATGGTCACCCACACCTATGCTCACACCCATTCCCTGCCTGGATGGCCCCCTTCAAAGCCAACTTCACATTCCATTTCCAACTGCACTTCCTCCCAAGACACTTCCTCAACAGATTAAGTCTTGGAGTCACACAAAATTGCATGTGCTGCCCACTGTGGAGTTCTGGGTAAGCGTCCTCCCATTTCTCTCTATGACTTTGGTTGATCACAATTTGACAGAATTGTGTTCCAGGAACAGAATCCAGGAGCACAGAAGCAATCTGTCTACGAGATGACAATGTGGCCCAACTGTTTGAAAAGGTCCCCACCATTTCCAAGGAAAAGAAGATCTTGCCTTTAGAACTTTCTTTGGCCCTTACACAGACCATCATCATTCCTTAATAGTGTTTTACAATCCAAGGACGTGAAGGACACTACAGAGAAATAAATTGCATGGCAATAATAGCTCTGCCCACAAGTACCAACTCAATAGTTCTGCACTACGTACTGGAAGCCAATCTGTTTTTTCCTCTGGGCTAAAGGATTCTCTCCATTTCAGTTGACTACAATACCATACGGCTTTGAAGTTGAAGGCTAGTTCAGCACTGATTATAAATGTCTCTGTGAAGGGATTTTCACATTTGTCTCTAAATTATGAATGTTATAACAGTGACTGCAGTTTTATGGTGATAGCAAATAACATGACTTATTTAAATGGCTCTTGCTTTATGACTTATTGTGTTGTCTGAATTTGTCTGAAAGTCTGGAACATACAGACGTGGAGTAATAAAACTTCCCCCCGCCCCTGAAATGACTCTGTGAAATTACTTAATTGGACAACCTGGCTCTTCCAAAGAGAGGGGTGGTTGGAAATTCTGAATGTGGAAACAGTACAAAGAAGATGGTGCTCCCGATCTGCAGGTGTCGCTCAATCCCATTCCCATTCTGCAGAACTCAACTGTATTAACCCCTCAGTGCCTGCAGACTCCATGAATCACGTGTGCACAATTCAGTTCTTCTTGCCAGACCCAAGTGCATGCACAAGAGTAGATGAGACCTCTGGACGATTTCAAATGTGAGCCCTGGCCCTCCACCCATGTGCCACGTGGCTGCTGCTGTACAATCTCTCTCTAAAAAGGCACTTGCAAGGGATCCCTCTAGTTCCACTGGCACAAATGAGGCACAGTGACAAGTTCTGCTCAGCTGCCATCACACCCCGGAAAAGAAGGCCCACCACCATCACACCAGGCTAACTTGGCACACACAAACTGTGCTCCCTGCAGTACAAAAACAGTCCAGAACATTCCCTGCCAGGTAGGAATTAGTTGTCCAAAAGGATGGCCACCAACAGCCTGCAACAACCAGATTTGACATGGGGGAGGCTCAGCAATTCTGTACCTGAGTGAAACACAACTAGAAAGCTGGGTGTGAACACAAGGGTGAAAACCGTGTTAGGTAAGCTGGAGATGGGACAAAAGAGGGTGCTCAGAGTGGTTAGAGAATGTTCTGGGAAAGCATCATAAGATCCCACTACATGTGGTGGCCAATAGAAAATGGTGTGGCTTTCCTGACTTTATAAAAAGAGAATGTTCCCAGAGGCCTTGTTTTCGATTCACAGAATCTACTATTCATGCCTCTCCAGGGTGGGTAAAGCTCATCAGGGACATAGACAGAGGCCCTCTGCTGAGATGGCAGCCACCAACCCCTCCACCTGCTCATTGGACTTCCTAAGTTCAGAAAATCAGAGATTCAAAAAGATGTGTGTGCGCCTGTATGTGTAATGTGTGTATGCATATTAATTCTTAGCTCTGTCTATCAAAAGGGCCTAGAGACAAAGCAAAGACACCCAAGAGCAATGGTTTCTAATAATACCCAAGTCTTGGTTTCTAATAATATTTCCCATGAAAAGGAATCAGAGCTTCTTAGAGTAATGACTGATTCCAGCATGGGGCAGAGAAGGTTGAGAGATGAATGTGGAGCATCGAGTTATGTCAGAAAGTAAGAAAGTGCTAAAAAAAGAAAAAGAAAAGTAAAGAAAAAGAAATGAAAAGAAAAAAATAAATGAGAGGCATGCCAAAAGGACACAGGAGCTAGTTTAAAGACCAAATCCAGGAAAGTTTTAACACCCCCAAGTAATTGACAAGTGTAATACAAAATAGAAGCCACTGGAAAAAATACAAATCCACATCCACAGTGATGAGAGTGAGATAGAGACAAAGAAAGGTGCGAATGAATGACTGCATGAGCTGAGAGACGGAGTTAGGGCTCTTGCTCACATTGGGGTGACAATTGCTGGCTGGAAAAAGTAGGGACAATACTACAGCTGGAGACCCCAGTTTGTAATCATCATGCAAAAGATTGACACAAGCAAAAATCAGCAACAAACACTGAGTCAAGGATGGGAATTTTGGTGAACAACAGGATATTTGCCATTTGGCTGGCTGGTGGCAGGGAAAGCACAGAGACTACAGAGAGGAGACATCTGACAACCCCTGACCAGGTGACCAGCAGGCACATCACCAGTGTGGGTGGCTGGACACAGTACTCCTCTGCACACCCTCAGAGCCCATGAGAAAACCATGGGTGACCCGTGCAGGACACTGGGTGGGTGTGTGAGCTGAAGCTCACATGGAGGGCACACCACGCCCCAAGGGGGCATTCTGTTACAAAAGACAAGGCCGAATCCTTCAAAACTGCCCAGATCATAAGCCATAGAGAAAACCAAGGAATTGTTCCCGATTGAAGGAGACTGAAGAGCTATGGCAACAGAAACACGTGTCCCTAGACTAGATCTGTACCAAGGCCAAAACAGAAACAATAAAAGCCATAAAGCACATTACTGAGTTAGTTGACAAAACTGGAATATAGGTGTTACGTTATGGTATACGTGTTAAGTTTCCTAAGGTTGATCACCTTACTGTGGTTACGTAAGAGACGGTTTTTACCCTAAGGAAACACACACTGAAGATTCAGGTGTAAAGGGACACTTTAGTTTGGATCTGAAATGTCCCCAAAGGGCCCATATTTTAAAACCTTAGTCACCTTTAACTGAAGCTATTGGAGGGGAGATCTTTAAGAGGTGGGACCTAGTGAGATGATCTGGTCGCTACAGTTTTGTTCTTAGAGAGGACAGTGGGAGCCTAACCATTCGTCTTCCTCTCTCATTCATTCCTGACCATGAGGTGAACAACTTTGCTCCCCGATATGCTCCTTGCCATAGGCCCCAAAGCAAAGGGGCCAACAAACCATGTACTGAAATCTTTGAAACCAAATAAACCTTCTCACTTTATAAGTTGATTATCTCAAGTATTTTGCTACGTGTAGTGTCAGAAAGCTAACACAAGAGGTAACTTACTGTCAAACAGAGAGTATGTATAGTTCTGAGTATATATGTATTGGTCTCAGTAAGTGCAGTATGTATGCAAATTACTATCAGTTGGAGAGGAGTGAAGAGAACAAACGAGACAAAATGTTAACGATGGTTAATCTGGGTGATGAGTATATGGGTATTCTTGCATCTTTTATGGAACTTAGAAACTATTTCAAAATAAAAAGTTGAACTTAGGAAGAAGTGCAATAAGAGAAATAACTAGATATAGAGGATGCAGTCATAATGGTTTAGGGCTGAACTTTTTGGTGAGAGAAGGATGTGTGCTGAAGTCCAGGTGAGGCGGTTCTTGCTCCAGATATGGGCTCTCCCACCCCCAGCTACTCCTCTCCCCTTTTGTGCTACTCCTGATAAGCAAGGGTATTCAGACTCAGCTCTTCCCAGCAGTTATTCTAAGGACTAATAGTATTGCCACAGCCTTGCTGAGAGGGGTCAGGTACTCTAGGGACAAAACAAAGAACCAGCAACATGGGATGCACTTAGTAGCCATTGTCAGGTGTACCCCCAGGGAGTGGTGCTAATCTCCACACGCTGAAAGGCTCCCTGACCCATCACCTCCTATCAAAATGAATGGAGCTCCTCTTTGCTAGGGAGAAGGCACCTACAGAACCATCGCAAAGCTTTCTAGTTCTTTGACATGTGGTACCTTTCGCTAGATAAAACCATGAGTCAATAGGCTGGCTGACCCATCTGCGATGAAAAGGTATTGTGGAATGAGAAATGAAAACGAAGGTGGGAAAGAGTCAGCTTTGGGACCAGGGGCCTTCTAGAGGGCACACGGGACTGGGGAAGGTATACCAGTCATTGTTCGCCCTTGGGCTCAGTCCCACCAGGAAGAGGAGTCCTGAGTAAGAAGCGAGGGTGTGGCATGGGTCCCCCCCACCACCACGTGGCCCAGCCCAACTTACGGCAGAAGTCGTAGGTCCGCCAGGGGCCCACCTCCACGTCGGCGTTCTTGCAGGCGCTGGCGTAGCGCGCCACCGAGTCGCAGAGTTCCGACTCGTTGCCCCCGCTCTGGCACAGGCGGAAGAGGCAGGTGCGATAGTAGGCGGTGACGTTGACCACCCCGTGGCACTCCAGAAAGGAGCTGTTGGAGGGGTCGTTGATGATGCCACACCTGGAGCGGCTCCGATAAAACTTGAGCAGCTCCGAGTCGTTGTTGCAGGCCTTGAGCAGGTCCCCGCACTCCCCGTTGCAGATCTCCTCGAAGGTGGTCCAGCTTTCCAGAAACACCGCCAAGTTGTCCGTGCACTTGCCATTGGGGAGGCAGAACTCGTCGCTGGCGTTGGCGTTGAAGAAGCCACACAAGCCGCCGGTGCAGTTGAAGTAGGCGGTGGACAGGCGGATGTCCAGCAGGCCTGTGTCCGAGTACTGCACGCTCACCACGCCCTTGGACTCCACTGTCGTGCTGTTTTTGTTTCGATAAATCTCCAGCTTCCCCGAAGGATGGAAAAACGGTAATTCCACTTCCTGACCGTTCAACTGAAAAATCAAAGCGCTGTGATCAATTCCATGGACACACAGAGCAGCCACCGTTTCTGAGGCTGTGGAATGAAGACACAGCTCTGCCGGGTGACTGGCTCTTGAGAAATATCAAGAAGCTGATGGTCTACGGAAACCACAACTGTTTTTTCATCACTTTCTTTGGAAACTCTCATTTGCTCTTCATTGGTGTGCTTTCTAGACCCTAAGCTAGCTCCAAACTAATAAAATTGTGAGCAAAAATTGTCTCAGATCTATGGCATCCTCCTGCTGCCCCACATCTCCACTTGGGTACCTCTTCACCTCTTTACAGCTCCATTTTCTCTTTAAGTCTTAGATTTCCTATGCATCAGTCCCTTGGGGGCATGCAGAGCGAATCTAATGGTCTAACTGTCCGACACCCATCTAGCTCTCACTATTCTTTTACCAAATTAATCTCTTATCAATGGGAATGAAAACAGAGCCCTTTCAGTTGGTGGCAGTGTATGTTATCACCTCCTCCGACTGCACTGTGTTGACGTTTGTCTTCTAGACCAGATGATACACAAAATGCATGTTAGCCTGGAGGACAGAGATTACCCTCCCCCCCCCCCACACACACACACACATCCTAGCTCTGCCTCATTTAGCCGTGGGGCCCTCACTTGGCCCTTTGAGATTTTCATATGAAAATAGTTTCACTAGATGACTTCCTTCTAGAACTAATGATCTGAGTCTGGATGCCTAGAAGAAAGTATTTTAGACCAGGTCAGAGGGAGGTATCCTTTATATGACAGGGCAGATATCCTCTATACGACCCCACACGGCTTCTCATCTACAGGTAGAAGAGTTAGTACAGTACAAGGTTAAGAGCATAGATTCTGGAGCCAGCCTGTGTGAGCTTGAATCCTATTTTGTGGTTGTGTGTTCCTGGAGAAAGTTACTTAGCCTCTCTGGAACTCAGTTATGTCATCTGTAAAATGGTAATATTTTCTGCTGCATAAGGTTAAGTATGAGAGTGCTTGGAAAGGGCCTAGACTAGTGCTTGGCACATAGTTGGCATTGTATCGCATTTGCTCTTGTGGAGAACAAGTCCTATTCTAATTCGAGAAATTCCAGCTTTGCTCCATCGCTCCTCCTGAGATTCTCACTTGGTGCTGTTCCTGTGGAGCCGTCCCCTTCCTAGAATCCACTCTTGGGCAGAGGCGGAAAGCCTGATGAGAAGGGCAAGTTCCTTGGCTTGAGGAGACTCATCGGAAGGCACTGAAAGGGACCAAGGAGTCTTACCTTGACTTCCGAAGCCCCGACTCCTCCGATCTTGACTTCCTGGTCAGCCACCAGGATCCGCAGGCCCCGTAGCCAAGCAGGTCCTGCGTCGGGCTTCTTCTTGTTGATGTCGATTTCCAAGTACTCGGGCCGCTCAGGGCAGGTCTTCAGGAGGGTGTAGGAGAACTCGGAGGGAAAGGCGTAGGCGGCGCCGTCGAAGGTGTGCAGCACCTGGTTCTGGCTGAGCAGGCACACGGTCTCCCGCCGGGGGAAGCAGCCCTGGTAGCCGTCCTCCACGGCGCACACCTCCCCGCTGCGGCAGGTCTTGTTGAAGCAGTACACGTCGCCGCCCTCTTCGCACAGGCACTGCACGGTGCAGTTGGCCGTGGCCCAGAAGAACTCCCCCATCGTGTAGTAATGGCCGTCGAAGTCACAGCCGCACTTGTGCAGGGGGACACACTGGCTGGTGCTGAGGACGAAACCCTCGTTGCACTCGCAGCCCTCAGTGCACGGTGTGGCGCAGTTCTGAGAGGCCGTCAGGTCTGAGCACGTGTCGGGGCAGCTGCTGGTGCACACGGAATAGTGGCTGAAACTCGGACACTGCACGGTGGACACTGACGCAGGGGAAAGGAAGAGAGCGTGATCACAAGGTGAGTGGACCCGGAGGGCCAAGCGGCCAGAATCCGACAAGTACAGGGGCCCGGAGAAAGAATGTTTCTTCCTGATCATTAAGGTCCTATGTGAGGGCCACAGGGCGACTCAGACGGGGACAGAGACTGTGAGGTGATATCTATAACAACCACCTCAACTGCTTTCCTAATAACAGCACCACAATTGGATTGTGAATTTTTACTTGAATTTGATCATCACTGAGTTAAACTTCAGGTTACCATTGGTACTAGACTAATTTAATATAGAGCTACTACTTGGTGATCTATAATCATCAAGATATTTCCAGATCTTCAATGGATGGACATATGAGCTGACCTGATTTTCAAGAAGAGCCTGGCTCATTCTTAGAAGGAAATAAATGCCACTTTTAGGAGAAACAGAAAATGGAACTGTTAGGGGAGTAATTTAAAAACATAAATTTCAAACAGGAAGGTGCTTAAAATACCTAGGTATGATAAAAGCAGACTGTGGAAATGAATTCCCTGGGATATTAAATATTAGAAAGAGCCCCAGCTGTTAGCTGCAAAGATCATGTGCCTTGTTCCTCCAGGAGTTGGGATAGGAGCTGGGTGCCTTCTGAAGGCTCTTCTTGCCTTAGAAACCTTCTATCCTTATTTTAAGAGCATCCAAGACTACATAAATGTTTCAGTCTAGTTGAATCCAGCAGGCAGGGGCTCAGGGGCCTAGTAAACTAGCTCTCTGAGTTGAAATATAATTCATCCTACTAAAGTGAGAAGAGAGAAGTATGGAAGATGGGAAAGAAGTGCTACTAGAAAAAAAAATGTAGCCATTCTACGTAAAAATTTAGTTAGGCAGTTTGAATGCTCTTGGATTATGTAAGGATCAGAGAGAGGCTGTATTCCATTTCAACTCAACTCATGATATGGCTGCTCTGGGATAATAGAGTCCGGTCAGTCACATATCAAGAAAAATACACTGTCACTTAGTAGTTTGACCAATACTCAAAGATTTGAATCTGATAGATGATGATTTATGTGAATACAACCTATACTTATAGGGGATAAAATCTCCCTGGCCTTGTATTTAAAGAAATTCACATCTTCTCATCTACATAGCATTCTCAAATGCACGGATTACAATTTTCTGTTTACTCACGTGGAGGAAACCCAGGGTCACATAGGAAACAAAATGTGTTGTTTTTGTTTTGTTTAAAAATTTTACATTACTAGGAAAAGAAAGTGATTTAAATGGGATGAGGGGGTAGTGATACAACTAAATGGTGCAAAAGGCTTAATCCAGAGTGTAATTCAAAAGAACCTGGATTTTCCCCAAACTTGGGGCTTCTAACTGCTCTTAACATTTCAGAAAAAGGGCTTCTATATTGGTATAGTCTACTTCCTTTCTGCAGCCCTTTCTTTGACCAGCAACAGCAGGTCAGCTGAGATGCTCCAGAGCAAAGGGCACAAATTCTAAGGAGACTAAAAGTGGAGGAGGAAGAGCCAGGCAGCAGTGGGTGTGGGATCCATTTGGGAGGCAAACCATTTTCCCAAGCCAGTGTCTGCACACCACCTCTATGCCTGGAAATCCCGCCTTCTGGCTCAGCTCTGGGATTGCTCCCCCCTGCTATGGGGCCTCCCTCCAGCCAAGAGATTCCTGCCATTCATTTCCTGTTTCCAGATCATTTTTGTTCATCAATGAGTTCTTGTTTCCTGGCTCTGCTATCAGGTAGGAGAAAAGTAAAGATCCTTTTACAGTTCATTCTTTATGATTTGTGATATTTCACCTCCCCCTCACTCGTGGGCTTCAAGTCTTAACAAGGGCATTTGGAGGAGCCTTGAAACCCTGGCCCTGCTCGCTGCATAAGAGAGACCTCTCACTGGGATGGGGGACCAGCTTACCACACCCAGCCTGGATTCGCCAGTCTCCGATTGGGATGCCGAGAGCTTGGCACACGAGAGCGTAGGCCTGGATGGCTTGACAGAGGAGCGTGCCATTGTCCCTCACGCTGCACAGGTCATACACGCAGCTGTGCACAAAGGCCGTGGGGTCCACCACGGTGCCACACTCCCACAGGGGGCCGTCCGTCTTGTTCAGGAAGCCACAGTAGTCAGAGCCAAAGTAGAGGGTTTCAGTGGCAGCATCACACTGGGTACAGTTGTCCACACAGCCGGAGTCACACTTCCAGTCCACGTGATAGACACGCCAGCTCTCGCCCAGGTCCAGCACAGACATGGCTGGCCTGCCGTCAGGGCGGAGGAAGTCATCCAGTGGGTTTTTATTATAGTTCCCACAAAGCCCACAGGTGGAGTTTATATAAGAGCCTGGGACGGAAATGGAGGCGTAGTGCTGGCCATCGAACGTCACTAGAAGCCCAAAATCTGTTTCCACAGCAGTAGACATGCCACTCTGGTAGATTTTCACTGCCCCCAAGTCTAAGGTGACAGGCAAAGAAGTCACTAGGTCATTAACCTGCCAACAACAGTAACAGTAAAAGGCAGGTGAGCAGGTGCCCAGCAAGAGGTTCCAGAAGAGGTCAGGAAAGGAGGGCAGAGCAACTCATGTTCCAGAGAGACTGACTACCAACGTCCAGGCTCCAGTGGGCTTACCTCTTATTCTGGCAAAAGCCTGGAAGAACATTCTAGAGAGCATCTGGATGTGGGCCAGCAGAGCACTATGCATTTGAACTGTGATAGCTGTGACATTTCTAGTGCCACTGTGGATCCCTCTGGGGACTGCGTGGTTGTCACCCAGTCCTAGCTGGCTCTCGGACAGCTCTAGGCCTTTTCTTGAAAGGCTCATCACCTTGGTTTTCTCTTTATTCCTCTAAAGATCCATTAAGTCTCAGGTTGTCACACATTTTCCAAGACCCCGTTACTGCCCTTCATATTTACTGACCCTGCTTCTAGCTGAAATGTGAATAGAACAACTTCTAGGCTCAGCTGAGCTTTGAGGCCACCCTGACACTATGCTCTAAGTCCCATAACTTTATGATATGAGAAGAACGTTATTTAATTACTCAACAACAACAACAAATTTGAACACCTGCTAGGTACCAAGCACTATGTCAGGAACTGAGAAGTACAAGATTGAAAAAGAACAATCACTCCTGCTCCTCAAGGAGCCCTCAGCCTACTGCAGAAGAGGAACACAAATAGATATTTATAGTAGACAGTTTAAAATATAAATCGATAAATGATGCAATGGGAGAACAGTAAATGAACATTTAATCCAGCCTAGGGGAACCATAGAACGTTTTTAGAGGCAGTTAAATCTGATCTGGGTTTTTAAAGATAAACAGAAGTGGCCAAAGGAAGATCAAGAATAGGGGGGTGGAGTAGAGAATTCCAGAACAACAGAATAAAGGCAGGTGTTAGAGGTAGCTATGTGGGCTGGGGACAGGCATCAGGTGTTCTAGACTTCAGGGGGAACTGGTGGCCAGAGATGAAGCTGAAGACTTAGGCCAAACCCAGCCACCCTGCAAGTATCTCCTTAGGCCTCCTGTAGTCAAGCACTGTTCTAGGGGTTGGAAATGCCTGCCTCATAACCTATATTTTAGGTTCAACAAACAATATAAATGAGTAAAATACTTAATTATGTCAAGTTGATGTTATATAGAAAAAAAGTCAAACAAGGACTGTGGACCACAAGAGCTAAGAAAAAGGGTCTCCAATTTAAAAAAAAAAAAGGATTATCAGGGCAGAGCTCTGTAGGAAGAGGAATTTTGAAATGAGGAAGCAGCTGTGATGTTATCTGGCATGAGAAGGGCTCACAAGACAGGACCAGTGGGTCTTCAGGTGGGAGTGAGCAGGGGGCCCAGTGTGGCTGGAGCAGAGAGAACAGGAGAGGGCCATGGTAGCTGATGTCAGAGGGAGAAGAGTAGCACAACAGGGGTGGCTTGTCAGCCTCTGCAAAGACTTTGAACCAAGAGGGTGTTTAGAGAAAAGGAGCAATACAAACTGACTTCTGCTTTACGGGAGCCACTCTGCTTCTGTGTTGAGAGCAGACTGTGGAGGGCCTTTTAACCATGTTAAAAACAAGACATGAAAATACAACACAAGGCTTGAACTTCTGCTGTGCAGGGAGAGCCTCTTAAGGATTTTAAGCAAGAGAAATGACAGTTAGATTTGCATTTTAGAAAGTCCATGCTGCCCAGCAAGAAGCACTTATTGAACTAAGTCAAGGTAAGAAGAAAGAAACCCAGACGCAACTGCTGCAAGAGTCAAGGAGGAGGACGAGGATGAGAGCCCAGACCAGACGCGGATGGGAGGGGGGAGGCACGAGCTTATGCAGCTCACTTAGCTGGCCCTGGTGGAAATGAGAAATGGGGAAGAATCAAGAGTGAGTCCCAGGTGGCTAAACAATATAAGCAGGTGGCTTGAAAAGCTTCCGAGAGAGAGAAAATTTTCTTTTTCGCATTTACCATGACTAGCATCTTTAGACCCTCACACTCACAGGCTGGGATGGAATGATTATTCCTAGAACAGCCCTCGTGGGCTTGACTGTAAGTGCAAACCAACTTTCCGGGCTGACCTGGACCCACACTTGTTTCTGGTGCCATTGCTGCTACTTTCTAGGAGATGAGACTGTAGACGTGTAAATATCACTTCCAAGATTTACCGTAGCAGACACCACATGCAGCTCTCAGATTGGTGGGTAGTTCACCCTCACCAGACTCACCCTAATGAATGCACAGTAATGTAGGCTTTTGCTAATATACATCTCAAAACTCTTCCAGCTTCCACCATTACCCAGTTCCAAACCTGCTGCCACATTTTTGGGGTATTTATCACAGCAGCACCCCACTCCTGGTACAAGTCTTCTGCCTGTGTCTATCTGTGTCTGGGTTGCTATCACAAAACACCATAAAAAGGGTGGTTTACAAAACAACATAAATGTATTTGTATTTCTCACAGTCCTAGAGATTGGGAAATCCAAGATTAGAGTGCTAATCAATTCAGTGTCTATAAGGGCTAATTTTTTTGGTTCATAGATGGTGCCTTCTCCGTGTGTCCTCACATGGCAGGGCAGATGAGCTCCCTGAGGCCTTTTATAAGCACCCTTATCCCATTCATGAGAGCTCCACACTCATGACCTAATCACCTCCCAAGATCCCAACTCCTGACACCATTTCCTTGGGGGTTTGGGATATTAACATATGAATGGGAAGGGACATAAATATTCAGATGGTAGCAGTGGGAAAAGGGGACAAAAAAGTAGGCTTCATTGGGAAACTGTCCTGCAGAGAGCCATAGAAAGAAAAGCCAAGGAGTTTGCTAATTATCCTTATTTCTAGGCCAACTTAGTCTACAAGGGTGAGAAAAGCCATGCCATGAAGGAAGGACAGCTGGTAGAGTATGGAATAATTATTATGCATTGTGCTGTGCTGGGATGGAGAGGGAGAAGTCTTGCCCAAGGTTGATAACATTTTAAATGCCAGATACATTGATTGCTGAGTGCTCCCCTGTCCTCTTAAACTCCTGCTAACAAGGGGCAAAGTCTTGTGTTTCTCAAGGCAGAGGCCGTGGTATAGACAGGCTCTGGGTATTGCAACAGTTCCCCCAGCTTCCTGCATCTGTCCTCCCGCTCTGGCTGACCTCACACCTGGGTTGGCTGTAGATGTCAGTAACATCCCAGTTGATGCCTTTTTCCAGGTCTGAGTGTCATGGCACCTGCTTTTACACTCATCACTAAGCCTCCAGGGCTTGTGTCCCATGGTGCTCAGCACAGGAGCTCTTGGAGAAGTCTTATCCTGATGATCCTGATGTGTGACTTCTTGTTCCGTCCCTCTAGGCCTTAAGCAACCAACAGTAGATGAGCCTCACCTCTCTGCTCTCCTTTCTCCTCCCTGTGTTCTAGTCACTTCCCTCTCCAGCAGTGTCTCTCCCAGGATGTGGGCAGGGCAAGGCGAGGAGAGAGAAGAGGAATCTCAGAGATGGCCACGTGCAGCCAGCATGCACTGAGTACGTGCCGAGCACCAGGCTTTGTACTGGACATTGCACATGTGGCTGATCCACTTAATGCTCATGACAAATTTAAAGATCCTTATTATGTTCCCTTTTTACAGATGAGGAAAACGAGGATCAGGGCTGGTGTGACTTACATACAGGAGGCAGGACCCCAACTCCAGCCAGTTGTGCTCCAAAGCTGCGTTCTCACCACTGCTCTCTGCTGTCTCTGTCCCAGTGCTGAAGAGCAGCAGCCCATTCTGGAGCACAGCTCAGGCGCGCTTCCCAAAAGACACAACTACCCCAATTTTACAGATGAAGAAACTGAGGATCCAAGAGGCTACTTGGGACTTGGGTAGGTCCCACCCCAGGGATTTGGGCAGGTCCCACCCCAGAGTCTGAGCTCTTTGTTACTATGGACTAGTTAACCTTAGCTCCCTTTCTACTGGGTTACATTGGTGAGAAAATAGGAGAATCTACAAGTATTAGTTAGAAGGAGGTCTTTGTTACATACGGATTTTGAGTTATGTTGACTTTCTCTGGCCTCATTAGCATACACAATTCTAAATTGTTTATGTTGTTATCTGAGAACAGTTCAACAGGGGAAAATCTATAGACAGAACACACCTCCTAACCCCAGCATCTGGAGACAGGGTTGGAGAAAGAGGGTCTATAGTTTGGGAGGACAGAGCTTAGCATCCATTCCCAGCCTGGCACAATGTGGCTGAAGGAGACAGTGGCCTCCCAGGCATCTGGGGCTCCTTCCTGCTTCCCAGACCTCTCCCTGCCTGTCCCCATATCACCCTGGGTCAGGACTCTGCCATCCATCCAGCCACTGTCCCCAGCAGAGCAGGTGTATTCAAAGACACTGGAAACCATTTGGCAAAAGGAAAAGGCAGCCATTGTTAGCCTGCAGTTGGAGTCACATAACCTTTTCTTTCTGAAACATTTATATTCACATCCACATCTCCCTGTTGCTACAGAAAATTGAGGAATCCGTGCCCTACGCCTGGACGGTGGAACAGAGCCACACAAAATTAGCAGAGCTGCTGGGCCTGAAAAAAATGACAGTGCCCCTTTCTTTCCAGAAAAAAAAAAAAGTCTGACTGTGGGTGAAAAAGAATTTTAATCAAAATGGAAAGTAGGAATAAAGCATGAAGCTTTCTTTTTCCACTACGGATATCATCCACATCATCTTCACAATACAGGCAAAGTAGAGGAAAGCTAGTGAAAATGGGTAGCTTGAAAGGTTAGCAGCTACCTATAGAATAAGGACAGTGCTCAACGCACAGTATAAATTTAAAATGGAGAAACTGCAAAATTCTGTACCCAAACTCTTAGCTTTGATTTGATATACAGGGCTCTCCCTAGAGAGGCTAACCAAATAACAAGCAAACTGGCATTTCAAGCACAGGAAGAGCTCACTTTCTTAATTATGAGACTGTTAAGCTGCAGAGACCTGGAAGGGCAGAGCCAGGAAAAGTGGAATTAGTTCCCCAGTCCTACCTTTTGTTTGACATGCTACATCAATTAAAACTACAATGCATTTTTTTTTCTAAGAAAGAAATCCCTGTACTGGCATCAGTCTGGTTCGTAATCTCCATAAAGACCTCCATGCATGAGGATTAAGGATTGCACCGGTTGCGGCAATCAACCCCTTGTGGTCTTGGTTATTTTTGCTTGAATAAATACATGGTTGCAACAAGGTTTTCATTAACATTATGAAAACTGGGGCCTTCACAAATTGAGTAATTGCTAGTGGCTTTTCGCACTCCCTCTTTTGTCTATGCCTCTGCTTGAAATCCAGGTGGACAGTGGCAAGCCTCATTTGCACATGCTAAACAGACCAGCAGAGGCCCATGTTCTTCTGTTATTCTACATGGGAATGGTGGATTCTGGTAGAGTGGTGTTCAGGAAAAGCTTTCGTGGGAACTTCCCACACAGGCCTCCCTAAGGAAACCAGCAAGGTTACTCCAGATCCTCTGGAGACATCAGTCAATGTGGGGCTCTCTCTGAAGATGAAACAACAGCTCTTGGGCAAACAGGATGGGGGATGGGGTAGGATAAGAGTTATTAATCCCAGATTTGGGGATTTATACTTTGTGCTGACACCATCGTCAGGGCTTTCCATGTGACTACAGCCAGGTCCATGGGAAATTAAACTGACCTGTCTTCCCTGTTACTTCTGAGTGGTGTGATTGTGTGTGTGCATATGTGTGTACCCATGAGGAATCTAAGGATGTTAATATATTTTAAATTAAAAAATGAATGGACACTTTGAGGAAAGAGTTTAGTGAAGCTGTTGTACAAATAAAGTTTGGCTAAGTAAAGCATCTTAAAAGGTATTTGTAGAGCAGGAAGAGCCTGCGTCTTTTTGGTACTGTAGAAGAAACGATGAACAGAACTAGTACGTTTGGGGAAATCTTCCCCAGGCTGAAGAATCTCTAACTTCTCCATCTCCCTAGGAAGGATGGAAAGGGTCTCACCTTGACTTTCCCATAGCTTCCTTTGGGGATGAGAATCTTGTAACCATTGACCTCCACGGAGAGCTCCTTCACCCAGGAGACGGCAGAGCCTCCTCGGTGCTCATTCTTGGCCTCCACACTGAAGAAGGGGAGGCTGGAAGTCTGCAAGCACTGTCTGGCCAACAGGTAGGCACAGGAGCCTTGGAAGTGGAAGAGGAAGCCGTCAAAAGTGTGGTAGTGTGGCTCTCCAAACACCACACATGTGCTGATCTCCACAGGGCTGCAGTAGAAGAATTTGCCCTTGGGTTCGCACACCTCGTAGGGGCTGCAAGAGGCCTCCTGGCAGTAGATCTCATTGTTGAAATCCAGACAGCGGCACTTGATGGTGCAGTTCAGGTCATCCCAAAACACCTCCCCTCGCCGAAGGAACTGTCCTGGGGAATAATGACATCAGAGCCAACATTTACTGAGCACTTACCCTCTGTGCCAGGTGTGGGGCTAAATGCTCCACATCCTTTATTCCATGTAATCCACACAATGGGGGGTTGTAGCCCTCACTTGTCAAGTGAGGAAACTGAGGCCTCAGAGTGGTTGAGTAATTCATCTTGAGATCACTCAGCAGCTCAGGTTTAAAGCCAAGATTCCAAGATGAGTGTGTCTGAATCCAGGCAAAGCCTTGGCATTATCAACTCTGCAGTTGGTGAGCAAACCCACATTCAGGGAAAGACATTGCCTCTGTCTGTGAAAGACTGTGACACTCGGGAATCATTTCCTTCTTTTCAGGAATCTGAGGAGGGGTATTCTGAAAGAAAACCCAATGTACCCAGGTAACTCAGCAATAGCTTATTTATTTGCTAATTTGTTTATTCAGTCAACAGATGTTTGTTGGAAGCCCTCTGGGTGCCAAAAAAGATCAATAGCACAAATCAGGAGTCAGGTGTACACATAGAAATCCCTGCTCCCTGGGAAGATTCTGGAAAGAGCTGACCACTTATATAGAACTTTCAAAGACCCATGAATCCTATAAATGCTTCACAGGCAGAGTTTACACCTATATGAGTTGTCTTCCCTTCACCTCTATGCCCTGTCCAAGTCCAACACTCTCTTTTCTTTATCCATTGGATAGAATTCTTGACAAATTCAAGGTCAAAAGGAGGATGCTGTATGGGGTAGGTATGTGCCAATGAAAATATTCACTGCCATTTATTTTAGTAGGAATTTTATCTTTAAAATAACTTCCCTAAATAAATAATCTCCCCACCAGAAAACCTGAAACTTGTCACTTGCTAATATCAACCTTCACTTGAACAGGAACTTCGCTGATCTGGGGTCTGTGATCTAATCCTGGGTTAGTGTTGGAACCAAGAGAACTTGCAATGGTCACAACTGTGCAATCAACTTTCAAGACTACTGACTTAATTCCCATGTGTATCCGTTTTCCTAATCTGTAAAATATATATAATGTTATTTCTCATCCCTGCCTCATGGGGAACGGTGATGCTATGAAAGAGCTGACACATGGTGATAGAGGTAGCAGCATTTGTAAACTGAGGAATTTTGGGAGGGAATGTATCAAAGACTCCATATTAAGAAATGTAATATTAAGAAAACTCAATTTAAGAAATGTAAATAATGTCACAGCATGTGTGAGGCCCTGGGTTCGATCCTCAGCATGGCAAAAAAGAAGAATGTCGTACACCAGGCATCACTGGTTGTTTGAAAAGAGTTGGTTAATATTTCTCAAATTTTCATAAAATTGACTGTCTTTCAAACCACAGACGGCTACGAGCTTAATTCAAGCAGAAGGATGGGCGCCTCCGGAACAGTCCTTTCTATACATGTCCAACGGGAACATGTCTCAACAGGCAATTATGTTTTATGCCTGGTGAGAATAGTGCCCCAAAACGAGATAATAGATTTATTCACATTCCCAGTTAGGTCATACACATTAGCCCTTAAAATGGGCCTTCGATCCTCAACACTGTTTGGCACTAATTCAAGGCTGCATATATTGTAACAGCCTGCATTCAATATCATTTCCACTCTCTGCTTTTTCAGGCTTCCAGTAAATGAGAGGAAAATGCCTTTGAATAGAGGAGGTTTGGACCAAAAGGTAGACTCTCCGTGACAATTTTGTTTGTGAAATGATGATATAATAAACCAGTTCTATGGAATTGCATCTCCTGCTATCACCCAGGCCAAATTCTAATCTCATTAGATTGATATACATTCAGTGGCACATAAAAATGCACAGCAGTCTGTATAAGGATATTGAATTTGTCCTGTGTATGAAATCCAAACCCATAACTCAGGAGGAAAAGAATGAAGTCAAAGTGGGGACTTTGTACACAGCTGGCATCTGACCAACTCCATGGCTCTGCAAGCCAATGTTTTCCATTATCACAGCATTTCATTCCCAAGACTCAGGTGAGAGGCTGTCACTGGGCACTTAGGTTGCAGATCCACAGCCAGTCAGCAGCGTGATGCTTGGACAAAAGGAAAGAGATGTTTGGGTGAGAGTCTATAAACTGTCAGGCTTTGGTTCAGGCCAGAAAGGGGAAAGGGATGATGAGGTATGGGGTGAGTCTCTCTCCTGGATCTAAGTGAGGCTGTAGGAGGGAAGGGGGCACTATCTCTTCCCTTGCAGGAGGGAAGGGGGCACTATCTCAGAACTCCTGGTGAGCTTTGGGCCTAGATTTTTTCCTATATGGTTAAAACTGGCCAAATTCCAAAGCTCTTTTGTATGTTCACAGAGTCCAAAAGGCAAGGATGCCCAGGCAGGCTGTCTTCACACATGACCTCACCTTGGGGCAAAGGAAGGGGTTTGATGAGCCTGACCACAGTGCAGAGAGTGGCATTTCAGACCATGTGAAGATGATTTTTCTGAGTGTTTAACAAATTAAAGCTGAGTCAAGACGTAGGCTGGAGCTTTTTCAGGGCTGCCAAAACATGTAAGCCATGCTTTCTACCCAAAGAGGGGAAGAGACCTCCTCATTCCACATCAGAACTTTCCTAGAGATCTAAAAACACGTTTCTAAAGGTCTTCCTCTGTTTCTACAGTACCTTGTATTTGGGTCTCTCACGTCTTACACTGTGTCACCATTGTTCTTGTGGCTATCATTTCTACCTTTTTAGTGTCATGGAAGTCTATAGTATCTTGACCTGTATAAGGGAGGGAGTATATCAAAGACTCCATATTAAGAAATGTAATATTGAGTAAACTTAATTTAAGAAATGTAAATAATGTCATAACATGTATGAGGCCCTGGGTTCGATGCTCAGCACTGCACAAAGAAGAAGAATGTTGTACACCAGGAATCACTGGTTTTTTGAAAAGAGTTGGCTAATATTTCTCAAATAATAGAGTCGCTGGCACTCACTGGAGCTCTCAAGGTGTTCTTTGGAAACTTGCAATGGCCGGCTGGCTGGCTGGCTTGGTGGACAGATGGATGAATGGAGCTGGAGATGGTGAGTGGATGGATAGGTAGGTGGCTGGATAGATGGGTTAGATGATTAGATAGATAGAGTAGATGGGTAGGTGGATGGATTAGTGGGAGTGGATGGTTGCACAAATGGATGGTGAATGGATGGATGGATAGATGATAGGGACACATGGACGAGTAGGGAGGGCCCAATTTTCTTCCACTAGTTGCCACAGCCTCTACTCCTGGAAGCAGAAATATTAACAGAAATCCCATTTTCTGAATACTTTTGAACACACAAGAGGCAGATATCTATAAATGGGGATGTTCCTGTGAGAGTCCAAGGCTATTTTGCACATCCAAAGAGGTCTTGAGAGTTCAGAGAAAGCTCCAGACTTTGGATGACCATGTAAAGGAAACCCACTGAGGTTCAACTACAGCTTGTTCACAGAGACCTACAGCCAACTTTGATTTTCCCCAAATTCCTGCATGTTTTGCTGCTGCTGGGAAGATTTAAAGAGAAGTTGACTGAAAGACTATGCTACCTTTTCTTTCTTTCTAATTATACTAGAAAGTATGGATTTACCCCTCTCCGGGACTTGGCAACACTCCAAGACCACCCACTCCTGTGGAGCTACAAAGTGCAGATGGCAGAGTAAGGAGAAGAAAAATTTAAACGGCGATGGCAACAACAACAACAAAAATAATGTTAAACAGGAGGGTTCCCTTCTGTCCGTCGGCCTAAGAAATCACTCAAGATCTGGGTCCACTTTGGAGTTGTTCAGAACTGAAAGCTGCGTTCGCACCGCAGGCAAGGACTTGGAAAAAGCCGCAGCGTAGCAAATGCAGAGTTTCAGCTCCCAGAGTGATGAATGTGCATGCTAAAATTACCTTGATCTCTATTACCCAGCTGAGAGATGTCAAAAGAGTAAGGCATCCGAATGAGGCCGCCCCCATGGCTGAAAAGCCTGCCTGTCAATCTAAACCAAACAAACCCTGTTTTGCCATAGAGAACAGGAAATGCTTTACCCCTAGAGGTGCAGCCGTTGGCCGGGTCAATTTCCTTCCCGTCAACTTTAAATGCCCAGCGGCCTGGAACATTGACATTTGTGGTCTCTTGAATATTCACAATCTCAGGGGTTCTTGAGCCTGGGAGGCTGAAGAAATTGGTGAGGTTTCCACCATTAAATCCTGCCTGAAGCACAAAAGGAAGATAAGACTTTTGATCACATGCACCACCTCTGTTGGTTACCTGGTCCAGTATCTTACTTTTCAAATTTAGCACATCTGAAACCCAGTCACCCTCTCCCCTAGACTCCCTGGGGCAGCCATCCAAGGTGCAAAAGACCTGCCTAGTTCATCCCACCCTCCAGGTCACGTAGCAAAGACTAGCCTTTCGTCCACCTGCACGATCACCAGCATCTCTAGTTAAAAGCTGTTGGCAGGACTCTGTCCAGGATGCTGAGCAGCACAAGCAGGGATTGCTGTGGTTTAGATGGGCAGGATGATGACATGGAGAACCACCTACCTGTGCCATCACTCCTCCAAGACCCGTCAGGGGGTCCCCACCACTTGCTGTGCCCGTGGTCCAGTTGATTTCATAGTAATTGAAGAGCGTGAATGTATAGGAGCCATCAGACACCAGGACAGCCTGGAAGGTGTTCACCTACAGGAGGGGATAGGATGGTCTCACGCCACTCCCAGGAGGTGCTTTCCTCAGGGACAGCTCCTCTTACTAAGCACACCCACTACTGGTCCCCCCACCCTGTCCCCAAGCAGCTCAGAGCTGTTCTGCAGCCCGGCCCTCAAGCTCTGCCTTCTCTCTGAATTTGTTCTCACCTCCAGTGGGAAAAGTGAGACATGTGGGATGGTGCGTCTAAAAGAGAAATTGCCTGAGATAAACCTGGAGTCTGACTCAGCGCCCAGCTCACATCTCTGTCTTGGAGCAGACAGAAGATTCAGAGGCCCCGGCTGAGCTTGTGATATTAGGAGAGCACCTATAGATGGCAGCATGAGAATAACTATAGGCAGCCACAGAGCCAGGACAGGATGCAAATACCTGTTCCCACAGCAGGGTGGGTGGGAGGGGGAAGAGCCAGCAAATGCTAGTCAGTGGGATTAAAATGGTCCTCTGGATTGTGCTCTCTCCATTCCTGGAAAACACATCTTGACGAAATGTCTCCCCTTTTTAAAATGGAAGTTGGAAAGTGGTTTTTAAAAAGCACTTTGTGGGAAGAAATTGCTCCTCTAATTGAGCATTCATGTATTGCTCTCTATCTGTAAAATCCTCAGTGCTCATTTGTAACTTAGACCAATGTTAAGATGGCCAATGTTTTTGGCCCATTCCCATCGTTTTTTCCCCCCTTTTTTATTTTGGAAGTGCTGGGGATGAAACTCAGGTCCTCATGCGGGCTGGGCAAGTGCTCTGCTCCTGAGCAGCACCTCCAGCCCCCATGCCCACCTGTAGCTAAGAAAGCTGAGGACTAAGGAAAATAGTTTCTGGACACTTCACGGTGACCCTTACATTGATGATGGGATTCAAGCCAGAGCTCCCAGTCTATCAGTGCACTGTCTTTCCATGTTGTCTTAATTTTAAACTTTCTAGGACAGAGATGCTATATAAATTCAAACAAACCTTGCAACGAGTTCTCAGAAATAAGCTGCAGCAAATTCTGTTTTTTACTATTTCCCTTTCCTAATCCTCACCCCTGATTTTCAGGAAATGCAAATAAAAAATAGAGTTGAAAGCAGAGGCTGCATTGACCTTTTTCTTTTCAATTCTAGCCCTTTCTCCAGCTTCCTGATACCATCCCAGTTAACATTCTGTCCAACTCAGAGGAAGACCCAAATCCCTATCGTGTGTAATCAAACTGGGGTAGAGGATCTTGGAAGCCCCAGATCTCCCCATTCTAGAAGGTCCCAGGGAGGGGAAAGGTGCAAGCAAAGAAAAGCCCTTTTAGTACAGAAAAGCTTTCTCCTTGAGCTCTGGGCCCGCCATAGCCGATGCTGTCTATGATAGAGCTGCCCAGGTATATGCCTTCATTCTTTGACTTCCTTTAACAAAAGAGGAAAGTAGGACACAAAAATGAATCAGCAGTCAGCTCAAGGTTGCTAAAAGGTCACTAGTGGGGTCAGGTTCAAGAGGCAGATGCAAAGTCAAGGTCACATGAGGACTAAAGTTATACCTTCTTTCAGAGCAGGATTCTCCTGCAAAAGTGAATTCCTTCCCCCAAAATGAAGTTGGAAATATCTGTGGTCCAAGCAGCTCTTGAGAGCAATCTATTTCCCACCCTATAAGTCACTCCAAATCCAACCAGCCATCTCAACAGCACCCTGAGGCTAACTGTATTGCATGCACACCAGCCCCCCCACACACTGTCGCTTGCCGTCACATACCCCTACACATAGACATTTCTTTATTCATATAAAAACGTTTTGGATTTGTTTCAGTAAAAACTTGTTTTTCAGTTCTTGAAAAACCCTTTTTGCTTCAGAGGACTTCCCATGATGCCTGGAGGGGACCCCTGAGGAACGAGGCAAGGATTTAGTGAGTGGGAACCCCTGTTCTGCTTTGTGGAAGTTTTTAATTCCTTTTCTTGCCACTTGGGCAAATTATTTCACCTTGGAATAGGAGCTAGCACTTGGGGGAACATTACTGTGGGGTTTAAATGATAAGTCAGAATATCTTCTTACAGAGCTGGGCATATAGGAAGCCCTCAATAAGTATTGGTTTTCCTTCCTTGAAGTAAACATGACCCCTTCCCTTTTTACAGGGCTTCTATGGCACTATCTGCCTCTAAAAAAAAAATCTCTCAAGCCAGTGTTCAGTTGGCCTGATGATCCACGTTCCTCTATGGAACAGGTGGTGCACTTTTCAAAGGGAGGGATGGATGGACACTTGCAGCTCTAGAATGAAGGCATATACCTGGGCAATTCTATCATAGACAGCATCGGCTATGGCAGGCCCAGAGCTCAGAGCACTCAGATGTTTCCTCATTTGTCTTCATAGACAGAGATCTCACCTCGTTCAGAAATTCATTCCAAAGTACAAACCAGAAAGTATCTAAATTATCTTGCCATTTTTATTGCCAATGGAAGTTTTTTTGGGAAAAAATGGTGGTCAGCATTTGATGGGCATTCCTTCTCTTGTTCTCCCCCACTGGCACTAAAATTTATCGATTGCTGGCATCCTACATTCTAATGCTGTAAGATATGAGACTTAAAGGACATAAAACATCACCTGAGGAGTCGTTAGCGATCCAGAACATGACAGAGGGAAATGTATGCTTCTTTAGAGGTTATTTCTAACCAATGCATCCACTGTTTAAACTTGTGTCTTTCTGTTCTGCAGGACCTCTTAGAGATAAAGTGCTCTGAGATGCTCTGGCCAGAAAGTGCTAAAACACAATGTGCTCATTGCGTCGAAGCTACAGATTGCAAGGCCAGCACTTTTCAACCTCTCTCTAACTTGGGAGTTTCTGTTTCACCCCTAAACAATTGACTCATTGCCAAGGAAGTGGGAAAACAGATGGAATTAGAAATAATTCTAAGAAAGGGGAGGGTAACTTTTTTAGCTATCTTTGCTTACTGGAAACATTATGCAGTTGAAGATGCATGTGTCTGCTACTTCAAAAACTTCCATTGTCAAAGTCACTCAAACGAGCTGCAGACTTTCCTGAAAACCACATTCTGTCCCTTTATGTAGAAAGTTGATTATCTCTACGATAATGCCAGCGATAATCTTTCTTATTTGACTTTTATTTGACTGCTCATTTGGGATTTCAGAGCAGATGTTAAAACTTTATTCATGAAACGCTTTAGCTGCCCACTCTAATTAACATCAAATATGAATAATATCAACCCTGGTCATAATAAAAAAATGTCATAACATACTAAAATGAGCCAGGTCATTTGTACCCAAATCCAGCACCTTACTTATCTCTTTCTACCAGATTTTATGGAGCAGGGTTGGGGGAGGAAATTATTGATGGAGAGAAACATTTTGTGCCTCTGGCAAGAGAAAAAGACCCTTGAGGTCCTCTGGATCCCTTTATTATGGGACCTGGTATAGGTCTCAGTGCCTTGATCACTCTACTGCAAAACAGGAAGGCCACCTTCTGCAAGAACATGGTTGAGGGACTCTTTTTAGACATTCCTAATGAATTGTGATTGGGCTGACACATCTTCTGAAATATTACAGCTGACTGGACTGGTTCACTCTGATATTTCCCTCTGTTTCCTGGAAAGTGGGTGGCAAGACCCATTAGTTTAACTCAAGTGAACTGACATTCCTCAGTTCTACCAATTAGACTCCTTCACAGTAGTGAAGATGGACAAGAATTAGATGTCAGAATATGAAGTGGAAAGTGGAAAATTTGAATTATTACAGGTGTGGTGCTGCTGCCTCCATAAAACGTGACTTCCTCCCATGTCACAATGAAAACCCAAGTGGCAGAGAAGGTTGTCATGTCTTTGAAGTACTTCCTGATGTCCCTGGTGGCTCTTTTCAAGATGACAGGGTCCATGGTCTCTCTGTAATAGATCTCGCCTCGAATTCCATTGTGCACGTCTGCCCAAAATGGGGCAATGAAGGCCCTCCCATCCGTCAGGGGAAAGGACTCCGGTGTGAACTGGCTCACCAGCACATTGAAGGAGACAACGCCGTTGTTATTGACCTACAAAATGAGAGAAGTGTTGCACAGTGGATCTGAAATCAGGACAACTTCAGTCACAAACGAAGATGGACATTTGCCTAATTGTATGAATGGAAAAGACTTCTCAACGACTGACTTAAAAAACTCAATGTCAGCACCATGGTCCAAAGGAGAAGATTCAGGGCACACACACTGGCTTTCTTTCACTTTCAGCTTGTAGTTAGCTTTGGTTTTTTTTATTAATAATCAGTCTCATTTTCATGATGTCTATCCTATCTCTATTGGCACTTACCAAATAGTACTGGGTTGTGCCTGTATGTGTTGTGCTAGGCCAGCCTGGGGGCAATGTGGGTAATAAAGCCAAAGTCAGAATGACAGATTTGAGATAGAAAGGAAAAACAAAAACACAGAAGCAAGTTAAATTTAAATTTGAGGAGCTTGATATTAGTCCTTGATTCTTATTTTATAACAAAAGAGGTAAGTCAGAGAAAGATAAATCAAATATTCTTTCATCGAACTCAGATCTCAGGATGAACCACGTCCCTGCTCTGGAGGAGAACTTTAAGACTTCTATTGATGTCACTCGGAACTGTGAACTCAGAACACAGACAAGGTTAAGACCTCCAGATGTCCAATTCCATTCCGGCTCTTACAGTTTGATAGCTTCCTTGTACAATCACTTCATAAAAATTGAGACATGAGTACCTTACATTATATATGTAAATGACTTGCTTACGGTGATTTCTTCATGATTTGTAAATGGCTCAGCCAACTTATGAAATTACAAAACCTTACTGCAAATCACAAGTCAGTAGGTTTCCTCGCACAGGACCTATGAATAACCCAGCTTCTGCCTGCCTCTGAGGTGAACTGATTTACCCAGTGGCTTGCATGGCTTGGACAACAGAACATATAAGACAGGAGTGCTTACAGCTGGGTAAGGAAGCCCTGGGGCCATTTTCCTTTACATTTATTCATTTAGGTTCCTATTGATCAAATAACATTATGAACATTAATAGTGACCCACAGACAAGGGATCTGCACCTGGGTAAGTGTACCTTGTCACACCTTGGAAACAAGCATATGGGGTTTGGAAAGAAGATGGAAAAAAAGCAACAGGGATGTTAAGAGCCTCTTGTCTTTGAACAACCCAGAGGGTGGCAAAGGACTACACTACTCAATGACCTAGAAACTCAGAATAATTTACCCTGGAACAAGTCTGCCCCAAACGATGGTTTATCCTTTCGCAAGGACAAGAATTCTTCAGGCTTCTTGCAGCATTGTATAATGAAGGGGGAAAAAGAGCTTAACTAAATACCTTTGTTCTAGAGACCTGGGAAGCGAAGGCTTCTAGAATGGAAGTCCTACACTCCGTCTCATCTCCAAAATCAGGTCAACACGTTCCAAAACTCACAGTCAGCTATTACAAACACAGACTGGGGAGGCCCTGCTGTGAGCAGAGCATAAAAGGCATTTCAGGATGCCAAGAGCGATGTGTTTGCTAGGGAATAATAGGTGTAATTAAAACACACAGACTCGAAGAAGAAGCTGGCAATGACTCACATGTGTTTTGATTATATTCTATAGTTAAAATCAGTGGTTCTCAAACTTTTGTGAGCCTTGGAATCACCTGAAAGGCACATGAAACTGGATTGTCAGGCTCTCCTCTCCAAGTTTCTGATCCAGTAGGACTGGGTTAGGCCCTGAGATGTGACATTGCTAACAAGTGTCCAGGTGATGTTGATGCTACCAATTCAGGGTCAACTGGTTAGGCGATAACTACCAGCCAGGTAATGGAAGAGGGAACTGTTTTTGAGTGGGAATCAGCCTCAAGCTATCCATCACAAGTTGGGAAAGTAGAGGTGTCAGATGTGCAGAGGGCCAAAGGTGGAGGTGCTCAGAGTCCCATTCGTATCTCTGAGCAAGACACAGAATAGGATAGGATGTGGTATAATCTACATATGGCTTCTTTAGTCCTTCAAGGCCAAAGATAGAGAAAGGCTCAGCCACTCTGCACCTTCCTCTTGATGTGCAACAATCTCAGCAGCTAAACCAATGATCCAAAAAAAGCCTGAGAATGCAGGTGCCCCGGGGAGCTCTGACAGAGAAAGTTACCATTTCTGAGTGCAGGCTTGACAATGGGACCCTCTGGCATAGGTACAGACCCAATGAGGGTGGCCAATTCTGTAAATGACTCTTATACGATAGTTGATTTCCCCTACTTTAGGCTCCAACTCTGCTTCAAATTGGTTGGAAGCCCAAGAACAGCAGGTACCTAAACTTTTCACACCCCCCAGAAGGGAAAGAAAAATGATATTGCTCCTATCGTGGTTCATTGTATCTTTTTATCTTGTCGAGTAGCAGAAATAATGTTCATGGCATTGGGGCCTCTGCTTCACTTCTGTGTTTAATCACCCACAAACACAATTTATTGCCCTGTATACTCCTCTACTATGAACATTAGCCATTAAATATACCTTTGACTTTCTTAATCATAAAACCTATCAGCTCATGAAATCTCAGAACTTGTCGTTTTGGCTGCCAATAAATCCTCCATTCCAGAGCCTTGGGAGAGGGTATTTAACATGCTTTCCTTAATGACAAACAAAAAGGAGAGCCACAGAGCAACAGCTGGGCTGCGTCTCCACTTACATAGACAGTGCGGTAGGGAACGCCGAAGAAGAACACCGGGATGGCCAGCTTGATCTCAGATGAGCTTCCGTCATCTACTTTGGGGGTTTTGGTGTCATTCTGCCAAAATGGATACATGAGCTCCCTGGGCTGAACTGTCAAGAGACATGGTGATTAGGCAGATGGCAGCTCCCTCTTGGTTATGCAAGCTACTTCCCTCTGACCTAAAGCCATCTTCTCTGAGTATGGCTTCCAAGCTAACCACAGGTCAAAGAGCCTTGCCTTTTATCCTAACCTAAGCCATATTCAGGCCTTTACCTTCTGCCTCTGGAAGGTGTCCATTTCTGTGAACTCAGAACACAGACAAGGTTAAGGCACCATTTCTCCTTAGAAGAAAGCATTCGGTGCTCTATTCCTAGGCTATGGTGCATTTTGAAGAAAGCAACGTTGAGAACCGGCTGGAAGGCAGTGAAACCACACTGCCTGGGGCTGTCAGAAGCCACTAGGTCTGGCATGGTCGGGAGGCCTTGCCTCTGGATGAGACAGCAAGGTGGAGAGAAGGTAGTGTGGCTGTGGCCAAGAATTCTAGTATCATGTCTTTTCCTGAAAGGAGTCTCCTCCCTCCTGCCACACAATAGAAAAAGAAGATACCAGAGCCCAGAAGGAAGTAAACAACAGTTGGAACCAGGACAAAAATGAGAGGAGAGGATTTGTAGTAACTGGCCTGTGAATGACCTTGATTGAGGGCTGGCTCTGAGAGGCTCTGTGCCCATCTCCTGTTCACAAAAGGCAGACATGGGATCTTCTGAGCCCAGGGAGGATGGGCACTTGAGAACTCTCTGGAGAAGAGGCACAGGGCTCTTCCTCACCCTCCTGGTCGAAGGTGAAAGTCACCACACAAACACATAGGCCCCTCCTGTGGCAGTGTTACCACCTCCTTGGGTACGTGGCTTATTTCTTCTATGTTTCCCATTCAAACTCTTGCAAAGTGTGCCCTGGTTTGGCAAGAGAAATGAGACAACTTCCCCAGGGTCTATGTTACTAACAACAAGGTCCAATTGCATCTATGAAATTATCTACATTTCAGGTCTCTTTTCTCTGCCTCTGACCTTTCTTCTCTTGAATAAAAAATAGAACAATGAAACATCATCTCTTTTTTCCATTAAAAAAACTGTTTGTAGTTTTCAGGGGCAGTAGTCAATCCATTTTGGACTTCTGGCCTTCGCTCTTGGGGTTCCCACTCACAGCCATCCAGAGGCTGTCCCTTTCATGCCCATTGTCACGTCAGGCCCTCTTCTTGGGAAAGTCCCTGTTCGGCACTGATGGAGCCGATAGGATTGTGAGCAACTGGCCAAGGACTGTGCTGCTCTTTTGGGAGTCTGTTAGTGAAGAGACAACAGCTCACGGACAGGAGCACACAGAGCAGCCAGAGAGCAGCCCAGAGTGCCAAAGTGCCAGCCCCCTAGTTCTGGAAAGGGAGCAGGAAAAGATCAGCCTGGACCAAGAGCTGATCTCTTTCTGAGGCTCACAAAGTAGGAGAGCAGAGAAAACTAGCCCGGTCATTAGAGTATATGCATTGTTCCCCAAACCCCAAAAGTTTCAGGGAAGCCAACCAAATCTTAACCTGTAGGAGGCACTGCCAATAGTTTATCCCAGGAGCACTGAGCCAATGAGCCACACTTGATGTTACAATCAGTACTTGAAGCAGGACCTTCTAGCTTGCCTATTTACATAATAGTAATAAATTCTAAATTCCTATAAGATAGGGACTTGGAAAAAACTTTCTTTATAATCCCTACTAAAATGTTATGCACAAATACTTCCTGAATTGGAAGGGTGACAGAATTCCTCAAATAAAGAGCAAAAAATCAAGTCATGCTATGGATTTGTCTCTCATGGGGAACTTTTTAGGAATCATGCCCAAGTATGAAAAACAGCATTTAACTGTGTTAATGGGCTCAAATTCACCTTGAATTATAATAATTTTCCTGGAAAGGTTAATTGGCATTTGGGGCAGTGTTGGCCAATTTGCCTAGGATGAGAAAACCTATAAGCATTCATGGAGAAGAAAGAAACGACATGGAGACTGTTCCTAATTTCTCTGGCTGTCCAAAATGTGAAGTGAGTTCCAAATCTCTTCTCTTCATGAGTGATTCTGACTAGTTTGTGATTTTGAACAGGAAAGAACAGACAGTTGAAATTTTTCAATCTTAAGAAGACGACAAACAATAAGGGTATCTAATATTATAAATATTCAATAAATACTTGTTAAATTAAAAAAGAATGCTTAATAAAAGGGAGTAGGTTTACACGACAGCAATTTCCATCTCAGAAGCCATTATTATTTTTTTAATTATATAAATAAATATAAATATCTATTTGCGCATATATACATCTGTTAGCAGCATGACCTATCAATAGTATCAGAGTTTGTAAAAGAAGGAATATTCTCCACCTGAAATGGCTGAAATGTTCACAATAAACATAACTATGTTTTCAGGATTCTTTCTTTCACCAAAGAAAATCTGTTTTTGGAGTAAAAGTAGGAGGTTGGAGTCAGCAGGATCATTGTGGGGTTTACATGTTATAGCTATTTCAATTCACCCAACCTTGGAAAAATGTTGGGGCCACACATGGTCATAAAGACCTGTTCATCTAAGACTGTGACCATGCACCAGCTGAGCCAAACAAACATATCAGCAAAATAAAGATGCTTTAGAATTCTAATCATAAAAGTTCAAGATCTATGTGCAGTGCCCCATTTTTCTTGTCTAATTTTTTTTTAAAGAAAACTACAGTAAAAAGAAATATGTGTGGACTTTCACTTACCCGGGGCAGTGCTCAAAGAAAAAGGTCAGAGAAAAGAAGGAACCACAGAGGTGATAATTGTCTTATTCCACTTGCACTTTTAGATTTTCTGGCCATGACATAGCTCACTGATACACAGTCACCAACATCAGTGACATTGTAACTTCTTAATTTGGGGCTAAAATAAATATATATATTTAAAAGTTTCTAACACAAGTTAAATGCCTTTATGGAAATAAGTGATCAGGTAACTACTCTATATTCTTTTAATAGAAATAGTTTGCATTAAATAACTTCTTCACAAATTGTGTTCTAAGTTAAATAATAAAAAGTGAGAATATAAGTGAACATCATTCAAAGTTAATGTACTTTACCCTTGACAACAGAATTTAATTTACATTTTTTCTCATTGTATCTGTAGACACATGTACACCTGCCCTTACAATCATGGTTCCAACAAAAGTGTCTCTTTATAAATTCAAGAGCATGCTAATCGAGAGCTTTATGGAATTCTGTAGTACTCACCTTGGTGCTGTACAAGTGCGAAGATGAAAGAGACCCAAATTCTAAGTAATGATGAATAATTCATCCTGGAATTTTAAAAAGAAAAAGAAAAAAAAAATCCCCAGCTTGCCAGAGTAAATAGAACACCAGGTGTGTTTGGTGGCAAATCCCAAGACACATCACAACCATCATAGAACAAATTCACATCACAATATCAATAGTTCTGAGTCGGGTTGAAATTCCCTGAAGGCTGCAGGTCCTCCCAAGTTCAATACTTTGTGAACAAGTTAGACCCCAGAAGAAGCCATCTGGAAGTGCAATAAGATCACGCAAATTGTCAGGTAATTTATACAGGACTGAGGAGAGCAGCTATGAGTAAAGGAAAGGTTCCTAATCGGCAGCTGATAAAGCCCCGGAAAAGAACACCTAACTCCAAAGGGTCAGGTCTCAAGCACACAAACCCCAAACCTGGCTTTCCTAATTTTCACAAGGGCTTTCCATCAGGATCAAAGAAATGTTGGTTAAGACACCATGCATTTCTACAGGTAGGAAATTTATAGTTTGCCATTACCTTCTCAATGATTTGGAGCCAACCCATCATTTTACTGACCAGATTCAGGTGTTGTCTGAGACTCTCTCTACCATCTTTCCATAGCAAAGTGAATGATAACTACATTGGTAATCAAAAAGAACCACACCAGGGTTGCTCTTTGGAATGACAATAAAGACAGAAGCCAGCACACAAGCAAGTAATTAGTTCCAGCAAGTTAATTAAAGAAAGAACATTGCAAAAATGGACATGTTCTCATGTTAGTTTAATCAGTTCAACTAGCGGTTTTGCTCTCAGGGGCATGGATGGTGTATGCTGCTCCACAAAGCTAGGATGCAAACACACATGTAAGCTCCAACTTAAAACACACACCTGCACACACCAAAGTGTGTGGCCAGCCTCTGAAATTCGCTCCTGACAGCGTTCTTACAGAAACTTATCATTTGAGATTTTCACCATTCTTCAGTCAAACTTTCATGAAATAGCAAAGAATTCACCCTGTGAGATTTTTGTTGTAAATCTCCAGTTGTCAAGTACGCACTTGGAAATTTGCAACACTTATTAAATATTAGTCAGTTTTGCTGAAAATGGCACAGAACTTCAGTAGAGATACACACATAGCTCCAGTGGAGCAGGTGCTATGCAAGTTTAAGACATGAGCTCTTAGGGAAACAGTAAGCAGAGAGCAGGAACGGAGGATTCATTTAGATATTCGTATTTATGAAAAATGTCACTAACCTGTTCTGTAGAGACTGGAGGAACTGAGTCAGAAATATTAAGCCAAATCTTGGTAAACCAGGAAAAATTAGGTAAAACAAGAATTCATGTCAGTTCTCCTCAACTTGCTGCCAATTATTTCTGATTCCTGAAATGATGCTGAATCCCGTACTCTTAAAACCAAAAATTCAGTTAGTTCTGCGCTAGAGTCAGGGAAGTGTTGAGTTGCAATCAAGGTTTTTTTCTATTGATTAAGAAAAAGTAAATCTAAAGATCAGTTTCAGGATTGCGTAGAGAGGTCCTTTCCTTGAAAAACTAGACCTTTCCCCCCGCCTCTTAAAAAAAAAAAAAAAGTAGATTCATTTGGAAATGTCAGATACTTGGAGCTGAAGCCTTGGTTCTTTCTGATCAGAATCACTCTGCACTGAAAAACACAAAAAAGAAAACCCCCCTTCTCCCTTTGTACCCAAAAGAAGGCAACTGTATAATGTTACAGAATTAGCATCCACCGGCATGGGATTAAAACTGCAAACAAAGCTGCTGCCTCCAACCTTTAAATGAAGTTGGGTTTCTACTGAAGTCTTTTGTTGTTGTTGTTTCTGTTCACAGATAGGCTCTACTCTGGTTTTTCACAGGTATGCATGAAGTATTTAAAGAAACTTTCCCGAATTTTTCTAGGTTTTAGTCCCTCTCTTTTCTCCCTGATCCGCAGCTGTGCCATGGGAGAGGACAGGACAGGACAGAACAGGGCGCTTTCCAGGCAAAACCCTGAATAAGGAAGGCTCCCAGGGCAAGGCAGGACATTTCTCAAGGGGAAGCCCAGCACGTCCTGGATGCCTTCATTGGTGCCCACTAAGGGTCCTTGCAGGGAGAGAGGCCATAGACCCTCCTGATAAGAACGTGCAGTAAGTAAAGAACTTCAGAGGCATTGTGGAAAAGGGGACCATGGGAGCGGCGTTCTCCCAGGCAGCCGGTGAAGGCAAGATGAGAAAAACTGGCTGCTACATAAACTAAGTATACTGCTCAAAGTGTTTAAAATAAAATTTGGTAAAAAGACGTAACTTGAATGAGTGAAAAGCCTAAAATTATTCCAAAATTTTCTCTGAGCAGACATTGAAATGCTGACTGTACCCAAATAAATAAACAAACAAACAAATAAATAAAAATAAATAATTTCAGGTCTGGGCAAGTTGTCCTAAAATAGAAAAAAAAAGTGATTGGGGAACTAAAATTTTAGCCTAAATTATACAATATTTTCCCCAAAGCCTGTGATAATTCAGTAGGTTTTGCACAAGTCTATTCTCTCACTAGCAATATGGACTGTCCACCTCTGTTTACTTACAGATGTCAATAGGCTGTCTCCCTCCAAAAGGCACATATTTATATAACAGAAGATCTAGTTTTGGGGGTGCTTATGTGAAGTAAAATTAAACCCAAATCCAAGACTCGCCTAGGGAAGCATTCATTCTCCCTGTCCTGTTCTTATTAGGGTTTTAGTCCAAAGGTCAACGTAGATGTCTTGAAGCAAGAGTTGGCTCTATTTTAAAAAGCTGCTAGAGGCATACTAATTTCTTTGGTCTTCGTTTTTCATGCACTCCAGGATATTTCTATCTCAGCCCTTTCGACCCATATTAAATCCTCACCCTTCTTGAGGCAGGACTGCTGCTGGGATAGATGCCATCTGGGTCTAACCAGACATGCTGGATGGTAGCAGAAATGAATGAGAATGACTTTGAGAATCTGGCTACCAGTGAGTGCCAGGTGCCTGGGGAGAGGCTGTTCTGGCTGATCACGGCTGGGCTGGGAAACTGGTCAGTGAGTGGTCACAGATGGACAAATGACAAAAAATCTCCTTCCCTGGCATATCAGCAAAATGACTTATTTTGTTGAAACTATGAGGTGGGCAATAATTTCTGCCAAGATTTAGATGGGGTGGGCGGGGTGGGGGTGGCTTGGAGCTAGTCACCCAAGACATCTGTGCCTTACAAAGATGGCACAGATTAATGCTGCTTTTAGGCAACAGGAGATACCACAAAAAGACAAAAGATAAAATGCCCTGAAAACAAGTACAATTCTCTTTTTCTTTTCTTTTTTTTTAAACTGAGGATTAAACTAGTGGGGTTCTAACATGAAACTATATTCCCAGCCCTTTTTTATTTGAGACAGGGTCTTGCTAAGTTGTCGAGTCCTTGAACTTGTGATCCTCCTGTCTCTACCTTCTGAGGTCCTGGGATTATAGGTGAGCCCCACTGTGCCCAGGGAGATATGGCTGGCCATCAGCTTCCAGCTCAACCCCTCAGGCCCAGCATCAGCATTGGAGCCAGGGGCACATTCTTCATGGAGTGGACCCTGGTCAATGACAGAGCAAGATGGGGTAACAATGGCCTAGCACATTCCATCCAAAGCAGGTCTCCTATATTGGGTAGATTTGCAACCAAAGCCCCAGTGGCAAAGACTATTCAAGTGAGGCAGCTCTATTATGAAAAATCAGGGCATGGCTGGGAAAGAAATATATATACAAACATATACTGTATGTATATATACACACACCCATACACACATCATTTACTATGTATATACCCCAGCATGTATATTATATATGATTCAGTACATATGTACATAAAGAATACATGTTTGTATGTATTATATATGCATAAAATTATGTTATGTTTATATGTGCAGTTATGTGCTACATGGTGATATTTCAGCCAACAATAGACCACATATGCAAAATGGTCCCATTTAGATCCTATAACTTAGTGACATTGTTGCCATCTTAGTCTGTGTAACTGCACTCTGTGATATTCACACCATGAAGAAATCACCTAACAATACTTTTCTTAAAATATGTCCCCACTAAGTAGGCAGAAATAGATATAAATATATAGAGTAATAAGTATACACACACACACACACACACACACAAACACATACGATGGAGCTATCTGGGTAGATGCCCCTGAAGATTTTGATTATCCAATTTTCTTAAAATGTCTGGGCCTTCAGGTATGTCCCCCTCCATCCCATTAAAAGCTAAAGTTTCTCCCAGCACAAGAAGACAATAGAGAGGAGTTTCCCCCTCAAGGCCACGGTTGCTCTGCTGGAAAGCTGCTCCAACCTCCTCTGCTATAATCAGGGTCAGGTTGCAGCGTAACCCAGCCAGAGACATGCCAGGCCTGACTAAAGACTAAAGGAGCTGAAGGATCTGGCCAGCACACAATGGCATGGGATAGGGGAAGGGGAGTACCCAGGGGGCTGGGTTCTGAGGGTGCTCCATGGAGGAGGCTGGATCATGACACAGGATAGGGGAAAGTTTGTTGGCCTGGGCATACTCTCTAGCTAGACGGGCTTTAACACTATGTTGAAGACCCCAAAGGAAGGTACAGACCTGTTCCTAGGGTAGCTCCTAGAAGCCTAGAAAAAGTGATGGCTCACATTGAGTGAGACTGAGATGCCTGAATTACTGTGGCAGGTGGCAGAAGAGGGATTGAAAGGTTCAGGAGACAGACACACCATCCACTGAGTCCAGCAGGAATATACTGGCCTCATCAAGAAGCTCAGTGGCAATTCCCTTCTGCAGGTCAGGGTTAATGCTGGGTGGTGATGAGAGAGTTGGCTCCCCAAGGGCCATGGAGATGACGAGCAACAGAGGCCAGGTAACAGCACTCTACTGCCTGAAGCTGGAGTGGTCATAATTTTCATAATGACCTAGAGGATCAGAGTGGTAGTTAAGGGGACTGGATCCATAGGAGCTCTGAAGATGGCTAAAAGAGCAGGACATTTAGTGGGTAAAGTTGATGGGCAACCAACAAGGATATT